CGCAACAAAAAATGTAGGAGAAGACAACCAGTGTAGCAACAGCCTCAGCAGCAGTAGGTCACAGTATACACAGAGGAAAAAGCAAGATTCTCTCATACAATACAGCATGCACTAATCGAATCATACTTGACAGACAAGCTTTGCAGGATTTAAAAACCTTGAGATATCTAGGAAGCATCATTGATTAACACAGTGGGCCTGATGCAAGTGTGAAGGCGCGGATCGGCAAAGCAAGAGCAGTACATCTACAACTGAAGAACATCTGAAACTCAAAACAATTATCAACGAACACCAAGATCAGAATTTTCAATACGAATGTCAGAACAGTTCTACTATATAGGGCGGACACGTGAAGAACTACGAAAGCCATCATCCAGAAGATAGAAGTGTTTATTCACAGTTGTCCAAGCAAAATACTTTGGATCTGTTGGTCAGACACTATCAGCAACAACCTACTATGGGAGAGAATAAACCAGCTGCCAGTGGAGGACGAAATCAAGAAGAAGAACTGGAAGTGGACGGGACACACATTGAGGAAAGCAACTAGCTGTGTCACAAGATAAGCACTCACATGGAATCCTGAAGGTCAAACGAAGACAGGAAGATCAAAGTAATGGAAACAATCATGAGAATAATGAAGAGAAGTTGGATAGAACGAGAAGGGAAGTTGCAAGACAGACTAGGTTGGAGAGTGCTGGTCGGCAGCCTATGCTCAATTGTGGGTAACAGGCTTAAGTAAGTAAGTAGGGTGACTTAATGACTAACTAATGTTAAATGGTGTACAGTCTAAATCATACAAATGTAATTGTTGAATATTGTAAATAAATTATATCAAAACCAATAAATTTAGATATTAATTGAACTTATTATTAGAAAACCAAGCAACCAGCTCAGAGAAGAAAACTTCATCAAAACTAATTCCCAAGTTATCAACTTTGGGTTTCTAAGGATCGATAAAATCTGTTTTAAACTTCAGTTTTTTGGTTTCTTTTGTGTTGTTTAAATATCTCAATGGCTTTCTCTGTTGAAATTATTGTCTTCCACGGTCATAATAGTTTCATACAATACCACTCGTTTGTTATAATCACAACCATCAACAGTCGCTGATAATTATCAAGTCATAAACTATTTGTTTACTAATGATACAAACCCTCGAATCGTTAAAAAAAGATAATTTAAATTATACTAAACATTAAATAGAATTTATAATGGAACTAAACTCATCCCAGAAAAAGTCACGTTCAATTTGATGTACGATCTAACAGTGACAATTTTAGAAAATGATATAGGATAGATAAAATGTGACTAGCGATGAAATCCTGACTGCTCGTTTCTATCTAATTGATACCCGTCAGTTAGTTAAGTAGTGGACGAAAACATTAGTAGGGACAAAAAAATTGTATTTAAACACAAAATTACAGAACATCTTGGTAAAATCTGAGAATCATAAACTGAATAGTTAATTTGCGAAATGTCAATTAATTGTCTTAAACTTGACTTTTCCTTTTTCAAATATCGATCAGTCGTCTCAGACTTCATTGCTCTATGCCAATTGCTTTCTGTTCTCAGTCTTTCTTCTTCGCTCTTCTTGATCTTCTGCTGCCAGACATTCTATTCCTGAAAAGCTTTATATACTACATACGTCGATATAACTAGCACACACCACACCCGTTACCCTTTTAAAACAGTCGTTCTCGCTTTGGTTCTGATAACCATGCCACTTTCTTCTTCTCTGCAATCTGTGCCATGCTTTCCGTCAAAGTGACGAGCCTGCGGCACGCTGACCTTCTTACCACCGTCGATCTGTCAGGCCATCAACAGTTACACCTATATTTCAGGATTGATTTTCACTCCGAGATTCAAAACTAGTACCTTTCGTTCTAGTTACCCAAAGTATTATCAATTTAGCTACTATTGAATCTAAAAACCACTCGTTTATGCAACATGATATTCTAATTCACTACAAATTATACGTTAAAGTTGTTTCATAGTACAGAGAGACATCAACTGTTAGTTGATTGTTTTCTCTTAAACAAAGATGGAAATCACTTGATGAACATTGTTCATCTATTCTTTTCAGAATATGCTTGAACAGTACATTATAATTCGGTATATCTTACAAGACAAGCCCTATCTTGGAATCCTGAAGGAAAGCGGAAAAGAGGAAGGCCAAATAATAGATTACCCCGGGAAATAGAAGCAGATATGAAAAGGATGAATGTTAACTGGAAAGAACTGGAAAGGATTGTTGAGGACAGAGTTGGATGGAGAATGTTGGTGTGCGGCCTATGCTCCTCCACGAGGGATAACAGGCATAAGTAGGTAAGTAAGTAGGTATATATTACTAGAATTTACTACTTATTCATTAGTCTAACTTTCCATCAGTTTAGACCAGATAGTTTAATAAATATTTATACATAAAATGTCATATGTTTAAAGCATAGTAATGGTCTATTCATGCCACTATTGATCCATGAAGCTGTGTTAATAATAATATTATTAGACTTAATTGGTCGAATAGTAGTTTAGTTTATATATTCTTATACCCATAGTATTGAACAAGTTAATCCGATTTAACCAATCTAAATCAATATTACTGATGATGACTAGTAGGACACATGTCTGTAGAATTAAACTAGGACGTGCTAAACAACTGGTAATTAGCTATATATATGCATGTACATTAGTTATCAATATCATCTAGTTCCATAGTAGTAGTAATAATAGTAGTAGTATTACTATAGTAAGACATGTGTATAAGATTTTCATCAAAAGTTGATGATCCATATGCTAATAATCCAAGTCATAAAGCATTTACTCGGGCGTTTCTATCAAAATCTACTGCAGAATTTGGTAAGTTATCATAAATTATTTATAATTGAATTTGTATATACCTCTCCTTAATGGTTTCAAGTTATAAATTGAATAATAGTATGATTAATAATAGCGATATTCTTGGTTAAATTATCTGATGGAAAGTGATTGTGAACTAGATCATGGATTGACTCAGTATAGTTAAAATAATAATGTACAATTGTATTTTAACAAATTCCTCCATATATTCACTGGATACAATATTCATTCTTACTTATTTACTTACTTATTTAATTAATTAAGTCTGTTACCCACAATGGAGCATAGGTCGCCGACCAGCATTCTCCAACCCACTTTGTCTTGAGACTTCTTTTCTAGTTCTATCCAGTTTTCGTTCATTCTTCTCATGACTGTTTCCATTTCTCAGAGTAATGTGTTCTTTGTTCTTTCACTTCTAATTTAGCTTTCAGGATTCCATGTCAGTGCTTGCTTTGTGATGTAGTCGGGTGCTTTCCTCAATGTATATGCTATCCACTTCCATCGCTTCTTCCTGATTTCTTCCTAAACTGGATGGAATCTGGTTTGTTCTCTCCCACCGTAGGTTGTTGTTGATAGTATTTGACCAACGGATCCGAAGTCTTTTACATAGACAACTGATAATAAATACTTGTATCTTCTGGATGATGGGTTTCGTAGTTCTCCAGGTTTCCGCCCCATATAGTATAACTGTCTTGACATTTGCATTCAAAATTTATATAGAATAATAGTCCATTAATAGATCCTGGAAGTTACCCGTACTCATGTCTTCGCTAGTATATAACAATATTATCAGTAGCTTCCATCAACTGATGTTGATAACGTAACATTTTAACCATACAAATAGTGATTTCCAGCGGTAGACTATAATTAATATCAATAAAAGTAGTAATATTTTCAATCATCACTGAATATGCTAAGTTATTCAGTCTAATCATCATATTGAAAGTTGATGGCTAAAAGACTGGATAAAAGACGTTAGCTACTGTCAGATAAATATTGAGTATATAGTTTTATAATAGATCGATTTAGATTCCAATAGCTTACTGGTAAACTCTCTGACTGTGATATTCGATGATATAGGTAAAAATTCGAAGGATGATATAAGTTCTATCAAGATTGCTCATATGAATTAACACCAAGTGTATGGTATTATGAAATCTATATCTAGAGTTCCTTGACATTCACCTTAGATTATTTAAAATTCCAATATCTTTCAAACATATCTCAGATTAGCTGGAGGTGGTCAACAGGAAACCCAGGACCCGGGTTTCTTACTACTTGGCAAGTTGTACTGTAATCTTATGAGAACTGGTGCTCTCTGACGGACTCGATCCCATGTCACCCAGCTTCACAGTCAGAGACATTACCACTTATCTATCTGGACCAACCTCTTGTAGGACTGAGATGTAATCTAAGATTGGTAATTAAATCTTAATGTACATAGTACAAGTAATTAATGATATTGTTTAAGCATTGCTACTTTTAAAAGACATAAATTTTGATTAGCGCAGTATAAAAATACCTTATAGATAACAAATTCAACGTACGAAGACCTTACTGTTGAAGTGATCAAATGTCATATAACCCAACCTAAGGCATAATGTTTAATTCAACCTTGACATTTATAACTAGTATATGTTTCTTTTTTTTTTCATTTATCCAAATCATTTAGGTCAGGACAACTTTTTAACATGTCCACTTGGTATACTATTCACACTTGGTATTCTATTAGGTTCTGGTGGTGCTCAAGGTAAAACAGGTCATCAAATTGGAAAAGCAATAAGGTTGAAATCAACATCATCTTCATGGAATCCATTTGGTGCTCAAGAAGAAATGAAATCATTATATAAAGAACTTAATGATTCACTTGGTTCAGAGAAAACATTTATAGATGACAAAGAAGAAAAGGTTGTTAGAATATCAACAGGTCTATTTGTACAAAAGACATATGAGATTGAAACAAATTTTAATGAAAGTATTAAAAATGATTTTAAAGGAGAACTTATACCGGTAAGTTATTATATTTTGTGTAAAGTAATTTATTACTCATGATCTGATACTTCAAAAAAATCCATCAATCGAATCTCGCGAGGCGGGATCCTGTATGCGCACTACTGAGGAGTCCCACAATAGGACGAAACGACCGTTCAGTGCTTCCAGATCTTCCATGGTCTAGCTTCAATTGACTCATGATTTCAACTATGAAAAAAAAACTGAAATCTCCACAAAAAACCCCTTCTAATTATAATGCTCATTAGTGACTGACTTCAAGATACATGTCCTAGAGTTCTAGTGGGAAGCAGTGACCGGTAGAGTTCAGCCACTTCTGTTGTGAGAAAACAACTCACTGAATACGATTGGTGAACGGTTGCTTAAGCTTCGTGGATTGATTGGAGCTAGACATTAACACCGTTGGTTACCGGCTCAGTGGTCTAGTGGTTAAGCGCTTGCACGCAAAACTGATAGGTCCTTGGGTTTGAATCTCGCTAGACGGAATCGTAGATACACCCTATTGAGTAGTCTTGTAATAAAACAAAACGACCGTCCAGTTCTCCCAGGTATTTCATGGTGGTCTAACTTCAATTGATTCATGATCTAAACTATTAAAATTATTATGCATTAGTTAAAACTGATAAATTATATCATTCCCCCCTTTTTTTTCCTACAACCTACTTATTATTTATTATAAATTGATAGCCATACATTTTGGATTTTGTTTATATTTAAATATAAAAATTAAAAAAAATAAAAAAATGTTACCGATTTCATGTTGCAAGTGTAATGCTAATTAAATTTATGTTACCTATTAGGATTAATTATAAAGTAAACATTTGATATTGTTTATATTAATGTATGTTGAAATATCAATGAACAGTTTTATTAAGGTATTTTGTATATTAAATCAGTTAATGATGTTAGATTAAAGGGGGGGGTTGGAGGTTTGTTGCCATAGTAATATTATACACAAATTAAATAGTTGAAGTTATTTTATAGTAAGTTAATCTATAACACGGAATACAATGGATATCACAGAATCAATTAGACGATTTGAACTTTACAGATAACTTAGACCTCCTATCTCATACACACGAACAAATACAGACGAAGACAACTAATGTAGCAACAGCCTTTGCATTAATACGCCTCAGTATACACAACGGAAAAAGCAAGATTTTCAAATACAACACGGAGAACACTAACCTAATCACACTTGATGGAGAAACTTTAGAACATGTAGAAATATTTATGTACCTGGTCAACAACATCATTGGTGAACAAGGAGGATCTGACGCAGGTGTTAAGGCGAGGATTATGAAAGCAGGGACCACATTCCTACAATTTATAGAATATATGCAACTCAAAACAACTGTCTGGATGTAAAAATCAAAGTCAGAAGCTTCAATACTTATGTTAAGATAATTCTACCGTATGGAACTGAAACATAGAGAACCACTACATCCATCGTCAAGAAGATACAAGTATTTATAAATAGTTGTTTTCGCAAAATGTTCAACATTCAGTGGGATGCCGTCAGCAACAAACTAATGTAAGAGAAAACGAACCAACTTTCATATGACGAGGAAATCGGAAAAACATGTTAGAAGTGGATAGAGCACACATTGAGGAAATCATCAAACTGCATCATGAGACAAGCACTAACTTGGAATCATGAAGGGGAACGGGAAAGTGGAAGGTCAAACAACATACTGTTTCGGGAATCGGTAAGCAGATATGAGTAATATGAATAGTAACTAGAAAAAAGTATAAAGTATTATCCATGATGGAGTTGAATTGGGAATGCTATTGGTTGATTTATGCTCCTTCATGAGGGGTAACAGGCGTAGGCAAGACGAAACTTGAGAAACGCGATGTGTATATGAGCCTAGTATAAAATATATTAGTGTTTTAAGATGTCACATTAGGGATTACTTGATTGGTAAAACAGGGGAGTATAATGAGGAATCGTTTGGTATTTATTTGATCCGAGAACATTACTTTCATACTAAGGTTACGAAATATACAAACGTTAATCATAAACAATGGCTGAGTTAGGACCAATTTGGTTTTGTAATGTACTAACCAACTACTCGCCTTTAGATTAGACAATAAGTAATTTCGTTCAGCTACGTAAACCGAATGATATAGAATTCAATCGGAATCCTAGTGGTCATCAATCAGTTAGTTGTCGTGCAGATCACTGCGCAATCAAGTGAACATGATAAGCACTAGTATTAGTGGAAGCATCATTATCGGCACCGATGGCATCAGTGGTAGAAGCGGCATCGGCTTACTTATCTTTGAAGCATATGCTGTTGATGTTATTCAAACCGATGAATGATATACAACTAAGTCATTCAGCTTAAAGACCACAACATCTTCAAAGCTTACTATCGGCAATTATAATCAGAGTAAAGTCATTAGTTCATTAGAATTAATTAATACCTAAAAATTTTTAATTTTCATTAATCTAGGTGAATTTCTTAAATCGTACTAGTGCTACACTTAGTATCAATCATTGGGTTGATCAACAGTCAAATGGTTTATTGGAAAAATTCTTTATGAATGATATACCAGATGATATTGGAATGATATTGGTAAATGTTTTTTATTTTAGAGGTAAGTTATTATCTAATAGTTTAAAGTATAGTGTTTAATACAACATACTTGAAGAATATTTATTGAATAATTAGAGTCATAGTGCCATCAGTCTTTCATATCAAGTATTTTGTATTATCTTTGTTAGGCCGTTAAGATCAACATCTAGAATGTTTGTGATGGTTGGGACTTGTCCATTAGGCAAAACTGTAAAAAATTGATGGAATCTTTATGCTAGTAAGACGTGAACTTGGGTTATTCAGGATTAAGTCATGTTAATGGATGCTAACAAGCACTAAGCGTACGTCTGAATTACCATGGTTACTATAGTTTTATTTACGTAATGGCTATTTAATAAAAATTAAAATCCTAACAGGAATAATTGTAAATCGATAATCAGCAGTGATGTAAAGCAAAAGTTACAGCTTAGTAGTACTCGGATCCATAATTTGCATGATATTCATTGAATTTGAATAGTAAAGAATTAAGAGGACATTGACATATTTGGTAGTAACGAAGATATTATGAAGAAGCTGATTATGTTTAAGTGTTCTTAGGTAATAAGAATATGCACATGATGTTGGAAATAATACATCACGGTTTGTAGAGGTAGGTTAGTGGTTAATATGTTCGACGTTTAGCTACTGTACCTCAGATTCAAGCATAGATCCACATATTTTGGTATGAATAAACGGACAGTATCATTAGTCTTCATACTTCATAGTGTGGCTCATACCCGATTGCTTGGTGAATAAATGAAATGAATGAATCATTTATTTTGGAATGAAAAGTTTTCGTTTTCTGGCTACTGTTTTGCCTATTTCAACGATTCTCCCGATTACCCCGAAACGACTCGTGTAAGCTTGTCATTTTTATTGCATATATATCTCGACAATAGTCATACCATTGAACTGCCCAAGTTTTGGTAACATCTGAAAAGGTTGCAGCCAGTGTGGTTAGTGCTTTTATTATCCCATTCGAAACAATTATCATAATTTGCCTTTGTCTCAATCGGGATCTTGCGAATAAAGTTCCTGTACCAGTAGACTTATTCCTCCAACATAAATAACATCAAAAGACAATATCATCATGGTAGTCTGCACACGGTACAGCAGTAGTTTGATTACCGCAGTCACAAATAAAGGAACTTCTTAGTAAACACATTTGTTGTAACCGCTCAATTATCACATCTTCTCTAAAATCCTCTGTAAGTTAATCGTACGTCAGCATCAATTACTGAAATTGGCGCCTTGACCTTCAAATCCTTCAAACGCTTCTGATTGGCTCGTCAATAAATTATAGTCTCGCCGACAAAGAGAAGCGGCAAATACAGATTTATTAACTAATGACGCAGGCCAGAAAGCTATAAGCACTTGAGTAAATATCAGCGAGAGAAGCATAAATGACACACTTTGGAGATGGCCGGTAAGCCAACTCATGTCTGTCTCGATTTCTCGGCGTAATGTTTTCTTTGGTTTTCCTCTACTTCTTTAGCCTTCAGGATTCCATTTGAAGGCTTGTCTTGTGATGCAGTTGTGAGCTTTCCTCAATATGTATCATATCCACTTGCATAGCTTCTTCCTCACTTCTTCCTTTACTGGATTGAATCTGGTTTGTTGTCTTCCACAGTAGGTTGTTGCTGAAATTGTCTGACCAACGGATCAGGCAACTGTTAATAAACATTAAATACCATTATATCCCAAAACAAATTACGGTGTGGTTTGTTGTGAAATAAAAAGATAATATTTCTGTACTCCATATTTATCAAAATAATACAGTTATCATTAATTTTTAGATTTTTGGGAAAGTCCATTTGAGCCTCATTATACTAAGATGGAGAATTTTGATATTTCACCAAGTCGTCAACTTAAAGTTCCTATGATGATGAAAGAAGAAGTACTGCATTATGGAAAATTCGAACATGAAGGATTTGAAATCGTCAGTAAACCATTAAATGTAAGTAATTAAAAATGTGAGTTTATTTTTCTAACTTCTTTTATGTTTTAGGTTGGTCAATCTCTTTTACCCCTAGATATTATAGCGCACTGCTGAGGAGTTCCACAATAGAACTAAACAGCCGTTCAGTGGTTCCAGGTTTCCCATGGTGGTCTAGCTTCTATTGACTAATGATCTAAGCTATTAAAATAATTACAAGGGGTTTTGTGCAGATTTCAGTATTTTCATAGTCGAAATCATGAGTCAATTGTAGCTAGACCACCATGAAAAACCTGGAAGCACTGGACGGTCGTTTCATCCTATTACAGTACGCATCAACGATCCAGCCTCGCGAGATTCAAACCCAGGACCTACCAGTGTCGCGCCAGAGCACTTAACCGACAAACCACTGAGCTGGCCGGTATCCACCGGTATCAGTGTCTAACCTCAACCAATCCACAAAATTGGGCGACTAACCTCCATTGTACTGAGGTAGATACCTGTCTCTACCTGACATGGACTAGATCCACTGGTCACGACTTCTCAATAGAACTTGAGGAATTACCTCATGGAGCCAGTCACTATATAAAATTACTAAAATTTCCACGAAACCCCTATTGATAATTTTTTAATTTGTTATAACGTCTGACCTGCGTGCCCTGTTAATATATAACTTGACGATGCCTCCAATTAGAGAGCAACGAATAATTGGTCGGACCAGTGCGATCAGTCTAGAGCATTTGTCGACCCTGCTATCTGACTAGCCCAACCAGTTAAGTCCAGAACACCAACAACAGTCTCTTCAATATGAATCATTGTATTTCAAACATACTGAGTTTATATTACCAACCAAATAGACTACATCGTACCATAAAATAGAAAACAACATTTGTACAAAATACAGCTGAATGTGTCTGTGAATGTGGGGAACAGTAATTGATAGATTGGGGATAAAGCAAGAATGGTAAATCGTATAATAATAGTTTATGGGTCAAAATAAAGCTTATAATACGAGGGACATGAATATGAATAGTTTAGTTACTTAACAATTATACAATAGTCCATAAATAGTTCTCAAAGTTACCATTCATAATTCTCTTCGGGATATAACAAAATCCATTTATTCTAATGTTAAATAATTAGGTCTTATAACCTCAATACCACTGTGATATTTGAAAACGTCAAGCCTTTTAATTCCCATGATTCAATTATGAATAAGGAAATGTATAAAGATGGTGATTCTATTGACTCTCTAAAAGCATGACTTCTTTCTCACTTCTTTTAATTTTGGAATCAGATCGCATAATGTAAACCAAATTTTTCACTGAAAAATATATACCACTGGGGGTACTCTACTCACTGTTGCTGCATTCTACGTTAAGTGGTAACTTGATAAGAACTTTATTATGGTTTCTTTAACTGAATAGATCTTCATGATGAATCTAAAACCATTTCATCTGACTATTTGACTGAGGCTAGTACGGTGAGAACTCAAAATGTTTGATATTGTCTTACACAAAGAACTAATCAAACTTGACTGAAGTAAACTGTTTTCTCCTGTCGGAAACAAGAAGATATAATGTGGTGTGATCTACTTATATCAATATAAGTAGTATATGGTGTGGGTCAGACATAGAATGTATTTTGGCAGAAGACCGATGAGGAAAGAACTGAAATGAAGCGCAATCGTTTGGAAAATGCATGAACAATGGAATAAGAGAAGAAACAGTGAAGATTGAAACAATTGATTGTTAATTTGCAAATTGACTGTTCATTCTTTGGTAATCAGAATTTACTGAGATAGTCTGTAATCTTTGCTTAAATACATTCGATTGTCCCCAACTAGTGTTTTGTTCGCTACAATAATAGTATACCATAAAAAGCATTTTCAGTTCATCTTGTGAGATGAAATAAATTTTCTTCTACAAACAGTTTCTCTTTACTATTTACGTAGTGCAGATCACTGTGGTTGCCTATTTAAAGTAATCAGTCGTTTGAAAATCTCTATGGTTTCATCATTTGCAAGTGTTTAGTTTCTTAGGAATCATAACATCAGGCCCTCTTTTACTGATTTCATTTAATCCTTTCTTTCCTCAAATATCTTAAGAATACACGTTTCACATTTGTTGTCGTATTACCTCTTGAAAAATGGTCGCTCAATGGTGCCATGGAACTTTTGAATGGCAATAAAATTTTAAGTGAATATATAAATAAATTAAAAGAAACTGCAGTATCATTAAGATTACCAAAATTTACATTGAAAAATACACTTGATCATGTGCAAACATTAAAATCTATGGGTATTGTCGATTTGTTTAATCCAGTAGCAGCTAATCTATCAGGTAAGAATAATATAAGTTGGTAAATTCATATAAAAAATATTATACTTTTCTTCACTTGGCTCGAATCTTATCATTGATGCTTAGGACTGCAATTGGTCAGTCTTTAATTGGCATATGTGCATACTGAGTGTATTGCCTGGTTATTGCCTTTATTCGCAAGCATTAAAAGTATCCTATCATACAAGCAAGTGGTTATCAGGATTTAGTAGCTGAGCGGATAATGTGATGACGTTTGAAGCGAAAGGTACTGGGTTCGAGTCCCAGAGTGATCATCAAGTCTGAGATGCAGGTACATCCAGCTGACGAGTCCCAAATAGGATGAAACGTGCGTCAAACTGGATTCCACTGCTAGCCACTATCCATTCTTGCTTATAATGCTTGTGAATTATGGCAATATCGAGGTAATAAGCGCAGTATTCATTCCACTGCTAGCTACAATCTATGTTTGCTTATCATGCTTTTCTTTTTATCAATTCTATTATGAAGTTCACTGGATATTAGTACCTCAGATTATTAGTATGATGACTTCTAAGCTTTGTATATCACTAACCCTTATAACCGTTATTAGGTTACTCTAATAGATGTATAGATTTCATAAACTGGTGACTACAGTTTATTGATGTACAGTATAAATCACAAGCATTCTAAGAGAATATGAATGAATGAGAACGAATGAGAATTTGAAAAGCAAATTGATGAATGGATTTAAGAAACAAATGTACATAGGAAGACGAATAAACCATCGACTTACCTGTGAATAATCATATGAAACTTGCAGGCTGTTCATTTCTTATTGTAATTTCTGAGATTTATTCCTATTTATTTCATTAATTACATAGTTGTTTTAACATGGAAGTCGTTATTTATCACTGTGAATAATCTATATATATATATATACTTTCAGTTTAAGAATTTTAGGTGATCGGTTATAGCCGCCAAATGCCCTGGTACGACTGAAAGTGGGAAGAGTTCTCGCTCCCTCTCGAAATGTTCTTATATGGCCACGCATATATAGTCTCTGCCAGGGAAGTCTCACTCACTGCCGTCTCACGACGAAGTTGTTGTTTACGAAATTGAGAGGACGAAAAGCTAATGTCTGACGCTTTAACCAGGTTTGTGAATATGGAGGAACCATATAGGGGAGTTGAAAAACCCTGATTCCAAACCAATGGTGCACATGGGCTTCAGTACCCTGAGGGAACAAATGGCGTATGAATCAATCGTTGGTCACCGGCTACCATGGGACTGTATCTCCTTACCATGCTCCACTGCCTTGTGGATCACATCTTTAGGTCAAAGGCTCCGGATGTGGCCCCTTAAGAAAACCACCTGTTTCTGTTTGGGCACCCAGGCAGTATCACAGCTCCCCATATAAATAAATGAGATTTTTGTGGCGCATATATATCTCGTGCCCCCTTGTACCAATCAGTTGTCACAATCCTAACTGTTACTTCTGTAAATATCAGTCCATCTTCTCTGATTTCATTGTTAATGCATTTTTACACCGATTGCGCTTCATTCCAATTCTTTCCTTATCAATTTTCTGCCAAAATACACTTCATGTCTGACCATCACCATATACTACTTATATGGATATAAGTAACCCACATACCACAAATCTTCTTTATCATCTCAGAAATGAATGTTTTTTTTTTCTTTCCTTCTCTTTTTTTCTTTAGGAATCACCCATAATCATCAATTATATGTCAATAAATTTATGCAAACTAATTTATTAAAATTAAATGAAAGTGGTATTGAAGCAACCACTGTTACATCACCTATATTTGTACCGATTTCAGCTATATTACCAGATATTGATTTTAATGTAAATCATCCATTTATATGCTTTATATATGATCAACAATTAACAATGCCTATTATAGCTGCTAAAATTATTGAACCAATTATATCATCATAATTGAATTGAATTATATCACTGGTTGCCATAGTAACTATTTGTTTGAATGTAATTCATTTTATATTGTTTTTAATGAATTAATTAATTAATAAAGATTATTGATTGTTATTATCATTTATTAAAGTTGTATAATTGATTGGTCATTTGGTGGTGATGATCAATAACATGTATGTAAGTTCTGTAGTGCCGTGCTTCTTTAATAGTTCACTTCGATAACCGTTATGGTACAAGTCTTAACGTTGTATAATATCAGAAGGCAAAGGGAAGCGGCAAATACATTTTTATTGATAATTGATGCTGACCAAAAGGTTGTAAGCACATGAGCAAATGTTGACGAGCGAAGCATACATGACACATATCGGAGATGGCGGGGAAGCTCATTTCAACTCATGGTGATTGGTCTACTCTAGGACTGAGATGATTGCGACTGACTAATTAATGAGCGGTGACTAATTTCACGTTTGTTTAGTTTTGTATGAGCTAATGGAATTTAATCGATTAAGTTGCAATGTGATCAAGTGATTCGACGACGTGTTTATGATGCTAAGATGTTAAATGATTGGATGTCGTCAACAAGGAACCTCGAACCAGAGAGCACCAATTTTTTCGAAACTATAGGTACACCTAGTTTGTTAGTACTAAGTAACACGAAATATAGTTTCGAGGTTTTCTTTCGACAAACTCCGAAGACTCAACATCTCAACATAGTACACGTCATGACAAGTCCCTTACACGAGTGGCCACATTTTATTTATAATGAACGATATGATAAATATGACATTGGGACAACTCACTGATCAGTCTGAAGTAAATAAAGAGAGATGTAACATGTTCATTTTGTACACAGGGTTAAGGCTTGAATAAATGGATGGTTAAAACTATTCAATCCACAAAAACTTAATTCGTAGCACCTATTGGTTAATCAGTTCGGTCATTTAGGAGTTTCAAGGAGGATTTGTAATTGTTCTCTTAATATTGCCTGAAGAATGTATACGTAGAATCACGTGGTCGAATTTGAGTCACCACGGTTGCATCCAAAATAAACGAAGGATTTTGATGTTACTGTGACATATACGCCACAAAATACTAAGAAACGTTCCTCTTAACACATTCACAAGAAAAGGATATCAAAAGTCGACTACCGATTGTATGTAGGAAACGGATACTTTAGAAGGCAAATACTTAACAACAGGCAAGAAATGAAAAAAAATATAGCTCACTGATGTGTGGGTGAGAATGACAATGATTGGTTGTTTTGTTGAGTCAGACATTAGATAGGATGACAAGTGTTATATGTGTTATATATATATTCCCCTATCCTCCTTATGTATTGACTGTTCCTTGTTGTTGGATTGTGTCGGATTTGATGTGGAAATATATTGATGTTCTAGTCAGGCTAATCTCGTGTTCTTGATCTGAATTGTGTTGAAGTCCTGTAGAATAGACACTGGAAAGGGAATTTGGTGTAGATATTTGTCTAAGGTAAATTAACGAACCACATACGTGTAAAAAGTGAAAGGACTGTTATAACAAGAAACTCTAGAGTTATAACAAGTATGTTAAAGTTTATAACACTCACATAAGAAGCACTGTAGTTCGATAATACATCTATTCACAGAATATGAAGGTGGTAACTAATTATTTAGAAGTTATGTATGATATAAATATCACTGTAATACATACATGTAATAAACATGCTCAAGTTTACACGTCATTTGGTTGACGAGTGGAATATATAGGTTACCGAATAAATGAAAGATCAGAAGAATGCATCAATTCATAGATCAGAATGAACTACGTAAGATAAGATGATGGTTGGAGGTGGTCAACATGAAACCCTGAACCCGGGTTTCGCATTACTTGGCACACGTCAGCAAGGTGTTCCTGTAATATTCAGGAAACTGATACTTCCTGACGGATTCGATCTCGTGCCACTCAGCTTCACAGTCAGAGACATTACCACTGAGCTACTTGGGCCGTGACCGATATGTAATCACAATTGATTGATCACTGAGTGGTGATGAATGTCATGCGTGTCAAGTCCTTCTTAGTGTTGATCAAATGTTATCGATCGGGTCCAGGGTTTCCTGTTGACCACCTGCAACCACCATCTTATCTCAACATAGTTCATGCAGTGTCAAGCCACCTAGACTAGTGGCCACATTGCAATTTGATCGATAGCATTCGATCAGCACTAAGAAGGACTTGACACGCATGACATTGATCAACAGCCAGTGATCAATCAATTGTGAACTACGTAAGTGTACAACAATACTAATTACCACATGATCATATTTTTAATTAACATCTGAGTATGGCGTGTCACAGATGGAATCGGTTAATTAGTGTCTGTCCAAAATATATCATGTACAAATATATATTACACGTATATTATGTCAACTTAAAGTGTTTTGAAAACTTAATTGGGTAATAAAATTAGAAGACGTATTGTAGTAAACGAAAACACTAGTTGGGACCATCGAATGTATTTAGGCACAGCATTAAAGACTATCTCACTAAGATCTGATAACCATACAGCAAATAGTTTATTTGCAAACTATCAATCAATTGTCTCAATCTTCAGTGTTCCTTCTTTAACTATCAGTCCATCTTCTCTAATTCCATTATTTATGCATTTTCTTACCAATTGCACTTCATTGCAATTCTTTCCTTATCAATCTTCTGCCAAAATACATTCCATTTCTCACCATCACCATATACTACTTATATGGATATAAGTAGATCATACTACAGTATGAACGTAATCAAAGTTGAATATCACATAATCAATCACTTAAATTCAACTGAACAAATTCAAGAAAACAGAACCATTGGCCAACTCATTGAATAAAGGTATAAGAACTTGACATTGTTATTTTTGAACAAAGTGATTAGTCTAAATAAGAGAGACTTATCATTATAATAAAAGGTAATTCAATGATGAAGATGATAATTTATAATAATACGAGTATGGATTTGTGAAAGATAGTTGCACAATGTCGTGGATTAATTGAAATTAACCAAGTTATGCCATCATATTATTAAACTGATTGTCAACTAAATAGAACATAAGTTGGATGAAATAAAAGAAGCTGTTGAATACATTTTTTTTTTTGGACGCAAACATAGGTACATTATAAAACCATATTTTAAATGAGGTTCCAGTAGGGGACTCCTCAGTGGAGTTCATCCATAGTCCCACTAATAGAACTTGAACACAAGATCATCTATCTTAAACATGAACGTTTAAGCTGTATACCTCTGAGCCGATAGGTTTAGATAAGTCTAGAACTTTAATTCGAATATATTTCAAGGTTGAATGAATCTACTTCGTACTTTGAATGTTCAGAACCAATAGTTTTACATAAATGAACAATCTCTTAGTGTAGTGAATGAGAACACAAGTCAGGACAACCAAATATATTTGAAGATGAACTTAAAGAATCCCTTAGTAAAATTTCTGAACCATCCAGTAAATAATTCATTTGCAAAATTTCAACCAATTATCTCAGACTTCATTGTCCTTTCGTTTCCACACCAATCATTCACTATGAGCTTTCTCTTTTCTTTGATCTTCTAAACCTTCCGCCTCTCGGTATGTCACTCCCGATCGATGATGCATACTACTTGTATTTGTCGACATCAGTATCACACACACCACATTAGTACAAAATAGTTTCATGACGTTTGAAAAACGTCAGACTAAACCTTGTGACAGGAATGTTATTTTCAAAAGTTATACTCAATTTTAGTATCTCAGATTTTTAGAAATGTAACATTGTAAATGGTAATAATATTTGACCTATAATAAATATAATATATAAATACCTCCAAAAACCCCGGCACGTCCGAGTGTGGGGAGAGTCCGCCTTCCCTCTCCAAATGCTTTCACATGGCCGCGCGTATACAGCCTCTATCAGGGAAGTCCTACTCACTGCCTTCTCAAGGCGGGGGTGTTGTTCACGAAAGTGAGAGGACGAAAACGAATGTTCGACGCTTTAACCGGATTGGTGGACAAGGCGCGTCCACCTAGGGGAGTTGGAAAACCCTGATTCCAAATCAATGGTGCACATGGGCTCCGGTATCCTGAGGGAACAAATGGCGTATGAATCAATCGTTGGTCAGCGGTTACCATAGGACTGCATCTCCTCATGATGCTCCACTGCCTTGCGGATCACACCATTAGGTCGAAGGCTCCAGGTGTGGCCCCCTGAGAAAACCACTTGTTTCAGTCTGAGCACCTGGGCAGTATCACAGCCCTCACACAAATCAAATGAGATTTGTATGGCGCATATGTATCTGATGCTTCCTCATACCAATATTAATGTGTTTAAATAAATAATGAACATAATAGTCTAATTCACAGATTCCAATGTAACAATTTGTTTACATAATGTATTTAGATCAGTTAAATGAATTAGGTCACAAATCACTTTGTTTTGTACTGAAAAGGTATTGATAATACTCGTTGTATCGAATCAGTAGTATATTTATATAAAGAAAAACAAACCTTCATCAGATAGGTGGGTGGAATGTTATGAATACTATCATAAATACAGGTCAAATGTAGCACTGTTCTTAATACAGAATTCAATATTTCAGTGATGTGTATTCGTATAGGAAATCATGAATATGATCCAAATTATTTTACACAATCCTTCATCAATCATTCTCTATCTATGACAGGTAAGTATCATTGTTGGTTTATTTGTAGTTTAGTAATGGAAACTATGGATAAGTTCTATGATGAATCACTCAATTCTTCCTTTAGTTTTGAAATGATTATGTTATGCTTTGATATAAATTCACTTAGTATTATTTGTTTGAATCTTTTCATTGATGTTTAAGGACTGCAACTGGTCAGCCTCTTATTGACATATGTGCATACTGTGCGCATTGCCTTGATATAGCTTTAATTCGCAAGCATTTTAAGCAAATATGAACTCAGTAGCTAAGTGGATAACGTGATGGCGTTTGAAGTGAACGGTACTGGGTTCGAGTCCCAGAGTGAACATCAACTCTGTGATGCAGGTACATTCAGCTGACGAGTCCCGAATATGACGAAACGCGCGTCCTGGATTCCACTGCCAGCCACTATCCATCTTTGCTTACAATCTTTGATATGTTTTCATATTTTTTTAATAATAGTGTTATATCATGAACTTAGATTCCTAGTAAGTTGTGTAGTACCTTAGCACTAGAACCCTAGAACCCTCTGAAGTTGAAGACTCAGACACAAAACAATTGGAACATGATCTTAGTATCGTTAAATGTTATTTATTTACTTATTTCAGAAGGGAATCTTGTAACTTCTCCATTTGGAGTATTTTTCATGTTATGTGCTCTATTAGGTTCAGGTGGACCTAGAAAGAATACATCATTGGAGATTGGTAATGCAGTTCTTGGCAAATATGTTCATCATCATAATGATAATAATGACTGGGAAAGTATTGCATCAGATACATTATGGTTATATAGATCAACATTAGATTCATTATCTGCAGAAATGACATATGTAGACAATGAATGGAGTCAAGTTATTACATTAGCTAATGGAATATATGCAAGTGATGATTTGCAGATTAATGGTGATTTTGAACAACTACTGACAGAATATTTCGATGAGAATATACATAGAGTAAGTTTCATTTCTATACAATAACCTAATTCAGAGAAATTCAGTACATGAAATGCACACACACATGGATAACTTCAAATAAGTTAAGAAAGAGTTAAAATTGAGCTTTGAGAAAAATGTTTCTCAGGTATCATGAATAGTTGAGTGATAGTGTGGTGTGGGTTACTTATATCCACATAAGTAGTATATGGCGGTATGATGAAACATTTGTACTAGTCTGTATAATTAATCAAGCTTGTTATTACAATTGTTTAAACTTAAGCATATGTTGGTAGGAAACAGATTTCTTGTACTTGTTTTTGAGCCCCGTGATATCGGATAGTAATACAAGAAAGCAGTTTTGTTGATCTAGTTCGAGTATCCATCAATTCACCTGAACTTCCTATATAGTATCAATGGTTTACTGCTAAACAATGACGGTAAGATGATGGTTGAGAATAATAACTAACGATTGCTTGTTCAGTATGTAGTTCCTCTATGGTTGCTCACCTGATGGCTTGGAATAAACTCAACTCAATCAGTAGAAACTCTTAACTATGTAGTTTTTATTGAAATCATGTACGACGAAGCGATCATCCAGTTCTTCCAGATTTTCAATGATTACCTGACTTTCATCAGTTCTTCATCTCAATAAAGTTCTACATTCCACATAACTATACAACTATATAGAGTAAATTCATCTATCAACATAATTAAGAAATTGTTATACAAGTATAGGTGCGACATAAATGATAGAGAACCGATTAACAGGTTCTTAGTAAACTGATGGTAGATTAAGAAAGGACTGGATAGTTATTTTATCCTAGTTTATGATCTGTCAATTGTAAACATCAATCACCAAACGAAGGATGGGACTAAGATCCTTGAAATCTCTCAATGATTATAATAGCTTTAGAGTATTGAATCTATATCTAATATTCAACATAATTGGTTCCAGGTGATGTACAATGTAGTGTGACGTTTGTAGAAGTCAATAAAAGAGACTTTAATAACAAATAATAATCTATAATTAGATTTCGAAATCCTCACCCATCTTGTGTTGGTAAAATTCATAGTTCAAGATTATTGTGAAACAATATAAAAAGTCAGAAGGGGTTTTGTGAAGATTCAGTATTTTCATAGTTGAAAGCATGAGTCAATTGAAGCTAGACCACCATGAAAAACCTGGAAGCACTGAACGGCCGTTTCGTCCTATTATGGGGCTCCTCAGCAATGAGGGCTCTGGTTCGATACTGGTAGGTCCTGGGTTCGAATCGCGCGAGGCGATGTCGTGGATGCGCACTTTTGAAGAGTCCCACGATAGGACGAAATGGCCGTCCAGTGCTTTCAGGTTTTCCCTGGTGATCTAGCTTCAATTGACTGATGGTCTCCACTATGAAAATATAAAAAGTACTCATCTTATATTATAATGGTTTCAGTTTGATTCAAATAAATGATACTAATAATAAGTCAAATGATAATAATAACACCAAAATTAAGAGGTTGTTAATATATTATGTAAAGTGTGATACTATGTCAAGCCCAGATAGGCTATTCTAGCTTCTAGACAGACCATTTTATTCATACTCCTCAATCTACATTTTGACCTTGTTATCTTTTGATAGAGTTTTGTTCTCCGAGCTGAATGGTTTGGTTGTGGAGCTTTCATCGTCTTTCTGAACGACATCATCAGCACAAACTTCGGGTAGAAGTGCTGATGATGTCGTTTAGAAGGATGATGAAAGCTGCACAACCAAACCATCCAGCTCAGAGAACTAGACTTCATCAAAATCATCTGCCTGAGGTACAAATCTTCTCCATCACCTTGTTATCTATTTGCTTATTAACCCTAACCATTTTTATTCGTGCTTGTATATCAGTTAATTACTTACCCTATTCATGATGTCTGTCACTTATTTTCATCAAACTTTAAATAATAAGTCAGTCAGTCAGTCAGCTACAACGTAGGACCAGGCACATATATGCATCGGTCCAAGTTGCCATACCTCTTTAGCACATCAAGATGAACACCGGATTCATAGAAGCAATTAATTTAGTGGTGGTAGTATATAAAGAAAGATTGTATAGAAGGATATAGTATAGGAAGAAAAAAAGTTATGAAGCAATTTTAATCTCAAGGTTTAAGGGAAGATAAAGAGTGTATACACCTACGCCATTGTGATCGATTCTGAGCCATGTCACACAGAGTCTCCAATCATTTATTACGATAGTCACGCAGACCCCAACCAGGTAGTCTGCATCTGCCAACATGGCTCAGGCTAGAAGTTAGTGACTTCAAACACTGATGCCATGTTTTGGTTTGGCCGCCCCTAACTCTCTTCCAACCGTCCCCAATACTAGTCATCATAGCGCGTCGTGGTAATCGGTGTTCAGGCATACGTAACACATGGCCCAACCATCTCAGTCGATGAAGATTTATCACCTCATCAACTGATTTACCATCGTTACCTAATACCCTGCGTCTAACCTCACTATTACTTACTCGGTGATCCCAGCAGATGCGAGCAATATTTCTAAGGCATCTGTGGTCAAATACTAGTAACCTACGAGTATCTTCTACTCTTAATGGCCATGTTTCGCAGCCGTAAAGTAGAACAGAACGAACTGCTGCGCAGTATACTCGTCCCTTAATTGATAGACGGATATCTCGTCTTCGCCATAGGTGACGTAAGTTGGCAAAAGCCAAACGAGCTTTTTGAATCCGTGCTGAGATTTCGTCAGACACCAACCCATTAGGGCTGATCAGACTTCCAAGATAAGTGAAGTTGTCAACGCGTTCGACTACTTCACTACCTATCCTTAGTTCGAGTGTTGACGCAGGCCAGTCCTGGAGTAACAATTTACATTTGGATGGGGAGAAACGCATCCCAAACATCCTGGCATTATTACTCAGTTCCAACAGAAGACTCTGCATTTTGTCAGCGTCTTCACTAAACAGGACTATGTCATCTGCGTATTCTAAGTCGCTTAGTGGTCCCCCTGGTAGGAGATCAATTCCTGTAAACTCAGTTGACGAGAGTGTCATTTCCAGCAACAGGTCTATAATGAAGTTAAACAAAAATGGGGATAGTGGACAGCCTTGACGGACACCACTTGAGGTTGTAAAATCATATGACAGTTCGCCATAAGCTCTCACTCGACTGGTAGTAATCGAGTAAAGAGCCTTCACAAGGTTTATGTACTTCTCAGTACACCTTTCAATGACAGACACTGCCACAGAACCTCTCGGTCTACAGAGTCAAATGCTGCTTTCAAGTCAAGAAAAACTATCATTGTCGGACGCCGATAAGCATGTCTGTGCTCTAAAACTTGACGAATGGTGAATATGTGGTCGATACAGACACGACCAGGTCTGAAGCCAGCCTGATTTTCTCGTGTTTGCAGTTCACGAGTTTTAGTTAGGCGCCTGATAATTATTGAGGCTAGTATTTTAGATACTATGTTAGTCAGACTAATCCCTCTATGGTTATCGCAGGATGATTTTGACCCCTTTTTATATATTGGGACAATCAGTGAATGTGACCAGTCGGATGGGATTACATCCGTCTCCCAGATTTTAGCCAGAATATTAGTCAACCTAATCGCTAAAATTGGACCACCATATTTAAAGACCTCTGGAGCCAATCCATCAGGACCAGCTGCTCTTCCTCGTTTCAGACCTTGGGACCTTTGGTTTCCTGCTTTTAGTCTCACCGCTCTTCAATCGACCTGTCTGGCATGGTAGGACCTCGAGGAACGATTGTTCCAGCCAGCATAGCTCGATTGGATCATCACGATAGGAAGCCCGACCACCACGTCAAGGTAGCAGCAACGGTCGGGAAATAATAAGTCACGATTGGTTAAATCAATTTGGTTCACATTCCTTCTCTGATTCATTTCGTTTCCTACTTATTGTTTCTCTGAATGTCTATTCCGATAAACGATGATATGAAATAGACGTATTCAAAATCCATTCTCGTACTTGACTTACTTAGTTCCTTTATTCACTAACTCAATTTAAGTCGATAATTAAATATGAGGAATTGGTGGCATGTATATTTCGATAGTGATCATTCAATAAGAATCGGTGTCCAATTGCAGTCAGATAAAGTTTCATTAAAAGTATATCATCCTCTAGGCTTACTGTTTCTTTCTTATTTTTCATTGATAGGTAAACTTCACTGATCAATCAACAGCTATGCAAACAATCAATCAATGGATTTCATCTAAAACAAACAATTTAATATCACAATTTTTTAATCATCCACATGAAATACTACCGAATTCTTTATTGAATTTGTTTAGTATATTTTACTTTAAAGGTAAATAACTATGTATTAGCAACTTATATATTAGTAACAGTCAAAGGCAGTTTAGAATGTTCTGACTTGCAATAATTAAAAGACACATCAAACAAGAAACCGAATTAAGCTTCAATCTACACTATTCATTAACGGTTATATTATAAATCCAGGACTCGCTTTTTGTCCTACTTGGGACTCGTCAGATGGGTGAACCTGCATCTCAGAGTCAATGTTCACACTGGAACTCGTACTCAGTACCTTCCACTTCAAACGTTATCACGTTATCCACTTAGCTACTGATTCCTGATAGCTACCTCCTTTGTGCAATGGGGTGAAGTTAAAATTCACTTGATGTTGTTCAATTGTATATTCCCATTGTTATTTAAGACTGCAATATTTAGGCAGTTCGCACATGATACACATATGCCAATAGGAGATTGATTAACTGATGTCCTAAATAACAATGGGAAGATACAAATAAACAACACCAAGTGAATTTAGATTATATTGTGAATTAATACTTTGATTCTTCACTACCGTCGGTTTTCAGGACGAAATTATAACAAGTTTTATTGAAATTCATAAACATAAGAACTGAGAAATCAGATGAAGTCAATAGTGTGAATTCAAGTTAAAATTTCATTGAATTGATAGTGTAACAAGATCATTACATAATTATTGGGTTAAACCATGTTGAATATACACAATAATACATCTTTTGTGATACCATCTATGATAGCTCATGTTAATTCTAGACTATGTACGCGTTCTATATATATATATGTATACATACTTACGTACTTACTTTCTCCTGTTACTCCTAATGGAGCATAGGCCGCCGACCAGCATTCTCCGAACCACTCCGCTCTTGACATTCCTCTCTAGTTCTATCGAATTCTTCTTCATTCTTCTAATATCTGTTTTCATTTGTCGGGGGTAATGTATTCTTTGGTCTTCCTCTTCTTTTTTGACCTTGAGGATTCCATGCGAGAGATTGTCTTGTAATGCATTTGGGTGATTTCCTCAATGTGTGTCATATCCACTTCCATCACTTCTTCTTGATTTATTACTTAACTGGAAACTGGTTTGTTCTCTCCCATAGTAAGTAGTTGTTGATAGTGTCTGGCCATTGGATGTGGAGTATCTTGAGTAGACAACTGTTAACCAACACCTGCTTCTTCTTGATGATGGGTTTCGTAGTTCTCCATGCCTCCGCTCCATACAATAGAACTGTCTTAACATTTGTATTGAAATTATTCTCAAGTAGCACTGATATATATATATATATATAGATAAATAGATAGATAGATAGATATTTCAATCTAGTTGCAGTATTAGTGAATTCGTATTTTATTTTACCAAAATTAATATAGTACTGTTTTTCTTGATTTAAATCCTTTCAATTCTCAATTACATTAGATGTTTGGGAGGTGCAGTTTATGGAAATGTTCACAGAAAATGCAACTTTTGAAGTATCTTCAGATCGTCAAATACAAGTACCGATAATGTTTAATGAAGAAGAGTTAGGCTATGCTGATTTTAAATCAGAAGGATTTGAAATGATCAGTAAATCTTTTAAGGTTAGAATAAAGCATACAATTTACATATCTCAAATGTTTATATTATCATTGTTGTGACTTTATGAAAGGTCATCGGCAATTTGTTATGATTTTATGTCCGACTTTAATCACATGAATCATCCATCAATCGAAATGACGATATAGATAGATAGATACTTTTCAAGATAAGAAATCTATACAAGGTTGATGTATAATTGGTATATTAATTCACAAGTATTATAAGTAAAGATGGTTAGTGACTTACAGTGAAATCCAGGATGCTTAATTCGTACTATTTGTGACTAATCAGCTAGATTTACGTGCATCTCAGAGTTTATTTTCACTCTCGGATTCAAACCCAGTACCATTCGCTTCAAACGCCATCGCGTTATCCACTCAAATAATGAGTTCTAATAGCCATTTACTTGTATAATTGAGTGAAGTTTAAATTCACTTGATATCGTTTTATTAAAACCTTCAAATTGATGTGTAAAACTGTAATTGATCAGTCTTTTATTCTGCTATGAACATCAACTCTCAGATACCGGTACATTCATCTGATAAATCTAAAATTGAACGAAACGCGCATCGTGGATTCCACTACCAGCGATTATCCATCTTTGTTTATAAGGATGATATATGTTTTGATGAAATAAAATTCTCAGAAGGGGTTTTGTGGAGATTTTAGTAATTTATAGAGTTGAGATCATGAGTGACTGACTCCTTGAGGTATTTCCTGGAGTTCTAGTGAGAAGCAGTAAACGGTGGAGTTCAACCAGGTCTGTTGTGAGATAGGAACTCACTGATGACATTGGTGAATGGTTGATCAATTTCGTGAATCAGTTGAAGTTAGACATTAACACCGTTGGATGCCAGCTCAGTGGTCTATCGATTAAGTGTTCTGGCGCGAGACTGGTAGGTCCTGGGTTCAAATCTCGCTCGCGAGGTGGGATCATGGATGCGCACTGCTGAGAAGTTCCATAATAGGATGAAACGGCCGTCCAGTGTTTCCAGGTTTTCCATGGTGGTCTAGCTTCAATTGACTCATGATCTCAACTCTAGAAATAAAATTCTGTTGAAACTTTCGTAAGACACAATCAAATCCAATTTTTTTTTTGGTTACTTCTTTCCATAGAATACAAGATTTACTTTCATTGTAATATTACCTAAAGAAAAAAAAATCGAACTTAAATTTGTTATCACAATTTCTTATGGGTAATCAATCATTACAGAACTATATTCAACAGTTAAAGAGTGAAAGAGTTTCATTGAAACTTCCAAAATTCAAATTAGAATCAATATTAGATCTTGAAAATATACTTAAACTACATGGAATTCATGATCTATTTGATCCAATTAAAGCTAATTTATCAGATTAGTTAATAGATTAGATGTGTATTCAATGTTTCGAATTGTTTGAAGAGAAAGTAATTATGTAAATTTGAAAACAAACTGGAACCATTGGATGGGTGTTTCGTCCCGATTGTGAATTTCATCAGTGGTGGTACGTATCCACGATCCAAACTCATGAGATTCGAACCCAAAACTTATCAGTCTCACAAGCGAGCACTTAATTTAATCTATTGACTTGTTTGAAGCGAAAGAAATGTTGTAAAATTTTGAAATTAACTATAGGAAGTAATATTTAGAGAGGGATAATGAAACTGTGTGAGAATGTATAACCAAGTATTGATGTCAAAGGCTCCGGATGTGGCCCCTTAAGAAAACCACCTGTTTCTGTTTGGGCACCCAGGCAGTATCACAGCTCCCCATATAAATAAATGAGATTTTTGTGGCGCATATATATCTCGTGCCCCCTTGTACCAATCAGTTGTCACAATCCTAACTGTTACTTCTGTAAATATCAGTCCATCTTCTCTGATTTCATTGTTAATGCATTTTTACACCGATTGCGCTTCATTCCAATTCTTTCCTTATCAATTTTCTGCCAAAATACACTTCATGTCTGACCATCACCATATACTACTTATATGGATATAAGTAACCCACATACCACAAATCTTCTTTATCATCTCAGAAATGAATGTTTTTTTTTTCTTTCCTTCTCTTTTTTTCTTTAGGAATCACTCATAATCATCAATTATATGTCAATAAATTTATGCAAACTAATTTATTAAAATTAAATGAAAATGGTATTGAAGCAACCGCTGTTACATCACCTATATTTGTACCGATTTCAGCTATATTACCAGATATTGATTTTAATGTAAATCATCCATTTATATGCTTTATATATGATCAACAATTAACAATGCCTATTATAGCTGCTAAAATTATTGAACCAATTATATCATCATAATTGAATTGAATTATATCACTGGTTGCCATAGTAACTATTTGTTTGAATGTAATTCATTTTATATTGTTTTTAATGAATTAATTAATTAATGAAGATTATTAATTGTTATTATCATTTATTAAAGTTGTATAATTGATTGGTCATTTGGTGGTGATGATCAATAACATGTATGTAAGTTCTGTAGTGCCGTGCTTCTTTAATAGTTCACTTCGATAACCGTTATGGTACAAGTCTTAACGTTGTATAATATCAGAAGGCAAAGGGAAGCGGCAAATACATTTTTATTGATAATTGATGCTGACCAAAAGGTTGTAAGCACATGAGCAAATGTTGACGAGCGAAGCATACATGACACATATCGGAGATGGCGGGGAAGCTCATTTCAACTCATTTCAAGCAAGCGTTAATCAACATTTATAGTCAGACAAAAAATGAATGACAGACATATGATGAATAAGATACGAAGTGTGCATACACATATACGCTCATATAAATAAGTAGTCAAGGTTAATAAGCGAATAATGAAACCACATCAAAATATGACTCATAATGGATAGGCGAAATGACTTGGCCAGTAGCTTGAATAAAGTAAATGAGCCTAACATATAAACTGATACCACAGTTCCTTCTTAGTTCAGATTGAATCCTATCGACCAAGTTGCAATGTGACCATCTGTTTAAATGAGTCGAAATTGCTTGTAGTATGATGAGATAAGATGGTGATTGGATGTAGTCATCAGGAAACCCTGGACAATGATCACCATCCAGTGATTAATTAACTGTAAATATATTTCAGTCCTGCAGAAGGTCAGTTGCAGCACGGGTAGGTCAGTGATAATATCACTGACTATGAAGCTTGGTGACACGAGATCATTAGATCCTTCAAGATTACAGGTACACCTTGATGATGAGTGCCAAATAGCACAAAACCTAGGATTAAAGTTTGACTACTTACTGAAGTTGTACAGTTGTAATTCTATTCAGTTAACATATATATATGAAGTCATGAGTCAATTGAAGCTAGACCACCATGGAAAACCTGGAAGCACTGGACGGTCGTTTTATCCTATTGCAGGACTCCTCAGAAGTGCGCATCCATGATCCCGTCTCTCGAGATTCGAACCCAGGACCTAGCAGATTCGCGCCGGAGTCCCATAATAGAACGAAACGGCCGTTCAGTGCTTCCAGGTTTTCCATGGTGGTCTAGCTTCAATTGACTCATGACTTCAACCATGAAAATATTGAAATATCCACAAAATCCCCTTCTGATATATATATGAGCCTGTTAGAAAATAGAGCTGTCTTGAACCCAGTAAGTATCAAATATTGAGAGGTGATAGAAATATTGGTAAGACATGGTAATGGAGTGTATAAAGGCTTAGGTGGGAAAAACCAATTTATTATATGATGAGAAATTATAGGGTGCCTTCATAAAATATGAAAATCATGCATTGAATACATTATTTGCACATCTTCATTCAGTTGTCCTTTAAATGCTTCATGATTCTTTGAATTTCATTATTGTTCCAATTCCCCTGTGTTTGAAACTCATCGGAACGCATGTCTGTAATGTCGAGGTAAGTGATGTTTCCCAAGCTACTCGAACCCGTATTATCCAACATGACAACCAAGGATATTACAGCTGGGTTTACTCTGATGGTGATTGGTCTACTCTAGGACTGAGATGATTGCGACTGACTAATTAATGAGCGGTGACTAATTTCACGTTTGTTTAGTTTTGTATGAGCTAATGGAATTTAATCGATTAAGTTGCAATGTGATCAAGTGATTCGACGACGTGTTTATGATGCTAAGATGTTAAATGATTGGATGTCGTCAACAAGGAACCTCGAACCAGAGAGCACCAATTTTTTCGAAACTATAGGTACACCTTGTTTGTTAGTACTAAGTAACACGAAATATAGTTTCGAGGTTTTCTTTCGACAAACTCCGAAGACTCAACATCTCAACATAGTACACGTCATGACAAGTCCCTTACACGAGTGGCCACATTTGATTTATAATGAACGATATGATAAATATGACATTGGGACAACTCACTGATCAGTCTGAAGTAAATAAAGAGAGATGGAACATGTTCATTTTGTACACAGGGTTAAGGCTTGAATAAATGGATGGATAAAACTATTCAATCCACAAAAACTTAATTCGTAGCACCTATTGGTTAATCAGTTCGGTCATTTAGGAGTTTCAAGGAGGATTTGTAATTGTTCTCTTAATATTGCCTGAAGAATGTATACGTAGAATCACGTGGTCGAATTTGAGTCACCACGGTTGCATCCAAAATAAACGAAGGATTTTGATGTTACTGTGACATATACGCCACAAAATACTAAGAAACGTTCCTCTTAACACATTCACAAGAAAAGGATATCAAAAGTCGAATACCGATTGTATGTAGGAAACGGATACTTCAGAAGGCAAATACTTAACAACAGGCAAGAAATTAAAAAAAATATAGCTCACTGATGTGTGGGTGAGAATGACAATGATTGGTTGTTTTGTTGAGTCAGACATTAGATAGGATGACAAGTGTTATATGTGTTATATATATATTCCCCTATCCTCTTTATGTATTGACTGTTCCTTGTTGTTGGATTGTGTCGGATTTGTTGTGGAAATATATTGATGTTCTAGTCAGGCTAATCTCGTGTTCTTGATCTGAATTGTGTTGAAGTCCTGTAGAATAGACACTGGAAAGGGAATTTGGTGTAGATATTTGTCTAAGGTAAATTAACGAACCACATACGTGTAAAAAGTGAAAGGACTGTTATAATAAGAAACTCTAGAGTTATAACAAGTATCTTACAGTTTATAACACTCACATAAGAAGCACTGTAGTTCGATAATACATCTATTCACAGAATATGTAGGTGGTAACTAATTATTTAGAAGTTATGTATGATATACATATCACTGTCATGCATACATGTAATAAACATGCTCAAGTTTACACGTCATTTGGTTGACGAGTGGAATATATAGGTTACCGAATCAATGAAAGATCAGAAGAATTCATCAATTCATAGATCAGAGTGAACTACGTAAGATAAGATGATGGTTGGAGGTGGCCAACATGAAACCCTGAACCCGGGTTTCGCATTACTTGGCACACGTCAGCAAGGTGTTCCTGTAATATTCAGGAAACTGATACTTCCTGACGGATTTGATCTCGTGCCACTCAGCTTCACAGTCAGAGACATTACCACTGAGCTACTTGGGCCGTGACCGATATGTAGGACTGAGATGTAATCACAATTGATTGATCACTGAGTGGTGATGAATGTCATGCGTGTCAAGTCCTTTTTAGTGTTGATCAAATGTTATCGATCGGGTCCAGGGTTTCCTGTTGACCACCTCCAACCACCATCTTATCGATAGCATTCGATCAGCAATAAGAAGGACTTGACACGCATGACATTGATCAACAGCCAGTGATCAATCAATTGTGAACTACGTAAGTGTACAACAATACTAATTACCACATGATCATATTTTTAATTAACATCTGAGTATGGCGTATCACAGATGGAATCGGTTAATTAGTGTCTGTCCAAAATATATCATGTACAAATATATATTACATGTATATTATGTCAACTTAAAGTGTTTTGAAAACTTAATTGGGTAATAAAATTAGAAGACGTATTGTAGTAAACGAAAACACTAGTTGGGACCATCGAATGTATTTAGGCACAGCATTACAGACTATCTCACTAAGATCTGATAACCATACAGCAAATAGTTTATTTGCAAACTATCAAACAAATGTCTCAATCTTCAGTGTTCCTTCTTTAACTATCAGTCCATCTTCTCTAATTCCATTATATATGCATTTTCGTACCAATTGCATTTCATTCCAATTCTTTCCTTATCAATCTTCTGCCAAAATACATTCCATTTCTCACCATCACCATATACTACTTATATGGATATAAGTAGATCATACTACAGTATGAACGTAATCAAAGTTGAATATCACATAATCAATCACTTAAATTCAACTGAACAAATTCAAGAAAACGGAACCATTGGCCAACTCATTGAATAAAGGTATAAGAACTTGACATTGTTATTTATAAACAAAGTGATTAGTCTAAATAAGAGAGACTTATCATTATAATAAAAGGTAATTCAATGATGAAGATGATAATTTATAATAATACAAGTATGGATTTGTGAAAGATAGTTGCACAATGTCGTGGATTAATTGAAATTAATCAAGTTATGCCATCATATTATTAAACTGATTGTCAACTAAATAGAACATAAGTTGGATGAAATAAAAGAAGCGGTTGAATACATTTTTTTTTTTGGACGCAAACATAGGTACATTATAAAACCATATTTTAAATGAGGTTCCAGTAGGGGACTCCTCAGTGGAGTTCATCCATAATCCCACTAATAGAACTTGAACACAAGATCATCTATCTTAAACATGAACGTTTAAGCTGTATACCTCTGAGCCGATAGGTTTTATTGTCTACTTTCAATCAATGAATATATATTTCACACAGGAGTGATCCAGATAGAAATACCTTGGTGATGTTCTCGGACAGATAAATGATCCACTTGGTTACATTAATTCAATTTATGTTAACACATATTGTTTTTCAAATGATCTTGATCAGCAATGAGATTCACCTAAGGTTTCTGAAATATAATAACACCCCTCCCCCCCGCAGGATGTCATTCAGTTACATGTAAAATAATTTTTTGATTTCGATGTATGAGTGTTGTCGAAGAAATTCTTGAAGGGAGTATATCTTATTTTACTGTAATACAACATACTTGTAATATTTAGTCGATACCTACACGAAAAGTATTTGTACATGATATATTTTGAATAGACTCTAATTATCTGATTCCATTTGTGATACACCATACTAACATGTAAAATTGAAAAATATGATCATGTGGTAATTAATATTGTTGTACACTTACATATTTCATTCTGACTTATGAATGGATGAACTCTTTTAATCTTTCATTGTTTCGGTTAACCATATACTCTATTCATCAATCAAATGACCTTTATACATGAGTATGTTTAATACATGCATATATGACAGTGGTATGTGACTATTCACATTCTGTACATCATACATGACTATTTAAAAAATGATTTGACACTTTCATCTACTGGGAATAGATGTTTGATCGAACTCCAGTGATTTATGTGGTCGGTTTCTAGATTTTCGGTTTCTTCCAAGTAAAGAGAACGAAATGAAATTCTCATATGCTGATTTTTGATTACATTCAGCAATTTTTAATATCGAATATGAATGTACTAACTAATCCTGTTATTGACTAGTTGGAATCGGACCATAATTCTACATTATATGCAGGCAATGCTTTTCATATAGGAATTGAATACATACTTATACATTTCTTCGTACACTTTGTAGGGCCAGTGAAATATAATTGAACCCAGCCAAATCATCCGGTAGTTAGGTCAATAAATATTGAACAGATCATCATCAAGGTCAAGGACAATCAACGCGCATCAGTTAATCATATGCCATGGACTGGCTTATATTCTTTTAATAACGTCCTTTGTGTTGTACAGTTTTCAGAGCATTCATGGTCCCTTGATGCGTTGGTGGGGCAATGCATGTATGGTGCTGATCGCGAGATGTGACTTAGAAGTTAGCTTGTTGGTTACACCGCTCCCGCCTAAATCGAGTAAGCCTCCAATCATTCGACATAGATCATCAACGTTGATGGTCTAGAACTTTAATTCGAATATATTTCAAAGTTGAATGAATCTACTTCGTACTTTGAATGTTCAGAACCAATAGTTTTACATAAATGAACAATCTCTTAGTGTAGTGAATGAGAACACAAGTCAGGACAACCAAATATATTTGAAGATAAACTTAAAGAATCCCTTAGTAAAATTTCTGAACCATCCAGTAAATAATTCATTTGCAAAATTTCAACCAATTATCTCAGACTTCATTGTCCTTTCGTTTCCACACCAATCATTCACTATGAGCTTTCTCTTTTCTTTGATCTTCTAAACCTTCTGCCTCTCGGTATATCACTCCCGATCGATGATGCATACTACTTGTATTTGTCGACATCAGTATCACACACACCACATTAGTACAAAATAGTTTCATGACGTTTGAAAAACGTCAGACTAAACCTTGTGACAGGAATGTTATTTTCAAAAGTTATACTTAATTTTAGTATCTGAGATTTTTAGAAATGTAACATTGTAAATGGTAATAATATTTGACCTATAATAAATATAATATATAAATACCTCCAAAAACCCCGGTACGTCCGAGTGTGGGGAGAGTCCGCCTTCCCTCTCCAAATGCTTTCACATGGCCGCGCGTATACAGCCTCTATCAGGGAAGTCCTACTCACTGCCTTCTAAAGGCGGGGGTGTTGTTCACGAAAGTGAGAGGACGAAAACGAATGTTCGACGCTTTAACCGGATTGGTGGACAAGGCGCGTCCACCTAGGGGAGTTGGAAAACCCTGATTCCAAATCAATGGTGCACATGGGCTCCGGTATCCTGAGGGAACAAATGGCGTATGAATCAATCGTTGGTCAGCGGTTACCATAGGACTGCATCTCCTCATGATGCTCCACTGCCTTGCGGATCACACCATTAGGTTGAAGGCTCCAGGTGTGGCCCCCTGAGAAAACCACTTGTTTCAGTCTGAGCACCTGGGCAGTATCACAGCCCTCACACAAATCAAATGAGATTTGTATGGCGCATATGTATCTGATGCTTCCTCATACCAATATTAATGTGTTTAAATAAATAATGAACATAATAGTCTAATTCACAGATTCCAATGTAACAATTTGTTTACATAATGTATTTAGATCAGTTAAATGAATTAGGTCACAAATCACTTTGTTTTGTACTGAAAAGGTATTGATAATACTCGTTGTATCGAATCAGTAGTATATTTATATAAAGAAAAACAAACCTTCATCAGATAGGTGGGTGAAATGTTATGAATACTATCATAAATACAGGTCAAATGTAGCACTGTTCTTAATACAGAATTCAATATTTCAGTGATGTGTATTCGTATAGGAAATCATGAATATGATCCAAATTATTTTACACAATCCTTCATCAATCATTCTCTATCTATGACAGGTAAGTATCATTGTTGGTTTATTTGTAGTTTAGTAATGGAAACTATGGATAAGTTCTATGATGAATCACTCAATTCTTCCTTTAGTTTTGAAATGATTATGTTATGCTTTGATATAAATTCACTTAGTATTATTTGTTTGAATCTTTTCATTGATGTTTAAGGACTGCAACTGGTCAGCCTCTTATTGACATATGTGCATACTGTGCGCATTGCCTTGATATAGCTTTAATTCGCAAGCATTTTAAGCAAATATGAACTCAGTAGCTAAGTGGATAACGTGATGGCGTTTGAAGTGAACGGTACTGGGTTCGAGTCCCAGAGTGAACATCAACTCTGTGATGCAGGTACATTCAGCTGACGAGTCCCGAATATGACGAAACGCGCGTCCTGGATTCCACTGCCAGCCACTATCCATCTTTGCTTACAATCTTTGATATGTTTTCATATTTTTTTTAATAATAGTGTTATATCATGAACTTAGATTCCTAGTAAGTTGTGTAGTACCTTAGCACTAGAACCCTAGAACCCTCTGAAGTTGAAGACTCAGAACACAGAAGATATGTAGATGGAATGTTATTCCAAACAGTGTAAATTATGGTACAAAACTGTCAGGTATTTATAGTTTTTAGTAGAAACGAAATCATCATTATAGTTATCCAATCCGTACACAGGGAGTTATCAGCATTGTCTAATAGGGAAGCAACACGTAGTGATTCTTGAGCATCCTTCCAAAAGCTGATTGGATGGAATATGTTCGGCTCCTTCTAGGCTTCTTAGAGCTTCCTCAAGTTCACCTGTGGACGTCCTCACAAATCGGATATTGAAATCAATACAGTTAACATTAATACAATATGTCCTTGGTTGATCTGTTATATAATTAGTAAAGACTAAAGTCAACGTCTTAAAAACAGAGAGATAGAAAGAGAGAAAGGGAGTGAAAATAAATTTGGCTTTTGTTTTATCTTCTGTGCCTGATTGCCCTGTTTATATATGACTTTATGATACCACCAATCAGATAACAATGATTTATTGATCAGACCAGTGACACACGAAACCCGTACGAGCAGTCTAGAGCACTTATCGGTCCTATTATCTGCCTTGACCAACCAGTTGAGACCAGAACACCAATAACAGTCTCTGAGGTATGAATCACTATATTTCAAACATACTGAGTTTATATACCAATCAAACAGATCACATCGTACCAGAAAGTAGAAAATAACATTTGTACAAGATCCAGCTCAAAGTGGCTGTGAATGTGGGGAACAGTAATCAATAGACTGGGGATAACTCAAGAATGGTAAATCGTATAATAATAGTTTATGGGGCAAAATAAAGCTTATAATAAGAGGAATATGAATATGAATAGTTTAGTTACTTACCAATTATACAATAGGAAATATACATATCACATCGGTCCATAAATAGTTCTCAAAAGTTACCATTCATTAATCCTCACGGGATATAACAGATTTAAATGTAGTTGCTATTAAGAAATAGTTATGATCAGTTCAAAGCACTTAACCAGTGAGCACAGAGTTGTTATTTTCTGTAGTTGTAATGAGAAATCATAAAGTCTACAGATGACAGAATTGAAATTGAGATGGTTAAATGGATTAACGTATGAGACAAATATTAGTTAATAATAGATAGTAAAAAGTGGAGTTGGAAAGCTTTTTGTATTTTCGAAAACAAAAGATTATGAACTCTTGTAGTGAACAAGAACACGAGTGGGGACATTCGAACCCACAATTACAGACAATCTCGGTAAAATCTGACAACCATACAGTGAATAGTTAATTTGCAATCACTCAATCAATCGTCTCAATTTTCACTGTTCCTTCTGCAAATATCAGTCGATCTTCTTTGATTTCATTGTTCATGCATTTTCATACCAATAGCGTTCCTTGTTGGTTCTTTCCTTATCAATCTTCCAGTGTAATACATTCCATATCTGACCATCACCATATACTACTTATGCGGATATAAGTAACACACACACCACACTCTGGTGAATTTAGATTTTTGTACTCTTTATAGTTTGATAGATTCAGGTATGATATATCTTATATGAATTGTCTTAATCTTACAAGATTACTAAAACTTATCGACTAATGCTCAATCTATAACCCATTTAGGATATAACTTATGGCCATAATCACAATTGATTGATCACTGGGTGGTGATCAATGTCATGTGCATCAAGTTCTCTCAAGATTACAGGTACACCTTGCTGACGAGTGTTAAGTAGCACGAAACCCGGGTCCAGGGTTTCCTGTTGACCACCTCCAACCACCATCTTATCTCAACTTATGGCCTTAGCTAGAAAATGTTCATAAACACTGTATCAGTAGTTTGTTCAAAATTAATTCCATGCGGTGTACTAATAATGTTTAGAATGATCTTTGAGTTTCTCGACTAAATCATTCAGATTATGTGTGGGATGTAATTACAGCTGATTGTCTTTGTTTTATTTTACTCTGGAATGGTAAATTGATTGTCACAAAACAATTGGAACATGATCTTAGTATCGTTAAATGTTATTTATTTACTTATTTCAGAAGGGAATCTTGTAACTTCTCCATTTGGAGTATTTTTCATGTTATGTGCTCTATTAGGTTCAGGTGGACCTAGAAAGAATACATCATTGGAGATTGGTAATGCAGTTCTTGGCAAATATGTTCATCATCATAATGATAATAATGACTGGGAAAGTATTGCATCAGATACATTATGGTTATATAGATCAACATTAGATTCATTATCTGCAGAAATGACATATGTAGACAATGAATGGAGTCAAGTTATTACATTAGCTAATGGAATATATGCAAGTGATGATTTGCAGATTAATGGTGATTTTGAACAACTACTGACAGAATATTTCGATGAGAATATACATAGAGTAAGTTTCATTTCCATACAATAACCTAATTCAGAGAAATTCAGTACATGAAATGCACACACACATGGATAACTTCAAATAAGTTAAGAATGAGTTAAAATTGAGCTTTGAGAAAAATGTTTCTCAGGTATCATGAATAGTTGAGTGATAGTGTGGTGTGGGTTACTTATATCCACATAAGTAGTATATGGCGGTATGATGAAACATTTGTACTAGTCTGTATAATTAATCAAGCTTGTTATTACAATTGTTTAAACTTAAGCATATGTTGGTAGGAAACAGATTTCTTGTACTTGTTTTTGAGCCCCGTGATATCGGATAGTAATACAAGAAAGCAGTTTTGTTGATCTAGTTCGAGTATCCATCAATTCACCTGAACTTCCTATATAGTATCAATGGTTTACTGCTAAACAATGACGGTAAGATGATGGTTGAGAATAATAACTAACGATTGCTTGTTCAGTATGTAGTTCCTCTATGGTTGCTCACCTGATGGCTTGGAAAAAACTCAACTCAATCAGTAGAAACTCTTAACTATGTAGTTTTTATTGAAATCATGTACGACGAAGCGATCATCCAGTTCTTCCAGATTTTCAATGATTACCTGACTTTCATCAGTTCTTCATCTCAATAAAGTTCTACATTCCACATAACTATACAACTATATAGAGTAAATTTATCAATCAACATAATTAAGAAATTGTTATACAAGTATAGGTGCGACATAAATGATAGAGAACCGATTAACAGGTTCGTAGTAAACTGATGGTAGCTTAAGAAAGGACTGGATAGTTATTTTATCCTAGTTTAAGATCTGTCAATTGTAAACATCAATCACCAAACGAAGGATGGGACTAAGATCCTTGAAATCTCTCAATGGTTATAATAGCTTTAGACCATTGATTCTATATCTAATGTCCAACATAATTGGTTCCAGGTGATGTAGTGTGTAGTGTGACGTTTGTAGAAGTCAATAAAGGAGACTTTAATAACAAATAATAATCTATAATTGGATTTCGAAATCCTTACACATCTTGTGTTGGTAAAATTCATAGTTCAAGATTATTGTGAAACAATATAAAAAGTCAGAAGAGGTTTTGTGAAGATTCAGTATTTCCATAGTTGAAAGCATGAGTCTATTGAAACTAGACCACCATGGAAAACCTGGAAGCACTGGACGGCTGTTTCGTCCTATTATGGGACTCCTCAGCAGTGAGGGCTCTGGCTCGAGACTGGTAGGTCCTTGGTTCGAATCTCACGAGGCGACGTCGTGGATGCGCACTTCTGAGGAGTCTCATGATAGGACAAAACGGCTGTCCAGTGCTTCCAGGTTTTCCATGGTGGTCTAGCTTCAATTGACTGATGATTTCAACTATGAAAATATAAAAGTACTCATCTTATATTATAATGGTTTCAGTTTGATTCAAATGAATGATACTAATAATAAGTCAAATGATAATAATAACACCAAAATGAAGACGTTGTTAATAAATTATGTAGTGTGTGGTAGTATGTCAAGCCCAGATAGGCTATTCTGGCTTCTAGACAGACCATTTTATTCATACGCCTCAATCTACATTTTGACCTTGTTATCTTTTGATAGAGTTTTGTTCTCCGAGCTGAATGGTTTGGTTGTGGAGCTTTCATCGTCTTTCTGAACGACATCATCAGCACAAACTTCGGGTAGAAGTGCTGATGATGTCGTTTAGAAGGATGATGAAAGCTGCACAACCAAACCATCCAGCTCAGAGAACTAGACTTCATCAAAATCATCTACCTGAGGTACAAATCTTCTCCATCACCTTGTTATCTATTTGCTTATTAACCCTAACCATTTTTATTCGTGCTTGTATATCAGTTAATTACTTACCCTATTCATGATGTCTGTCACTTATTTTCATCAGACTTTAAATAATAAGTCAGTCAGTCAGTCAGTCAGCTACAACGTAGGACCAGGCACATATATGCATCGGTCCAAGTTGCCATACCTCTTTAGCACATCAAGATGAACACCGGATTCATAGAAGCAATTAATTTAGTGGTGGTAGTATATAAAGAAAGATTGTATAGAAGGATATAGTATAGGAAGAAAAAAAGTTATGAAGCAATTTTAATCTCAAGGTTTAAGGGAAGATAAAGAGTGTATACACCTACGCCATTGTGATCGATTCTGAGCCATGTCACCTAGAGTCTCCAACCATTTATTACGATAGTCACGCGGACCCCAACCAGGTAGTCTGCATCTGCCAACATGGCTCAGGCTAGAAGTTAGTGACTTCAAACACTGATGCCATGTTTTGGTTTGGCCGCCCCTAACTCTCTTCCAACCGTCCCCAATACTAGTCAGCATAGCGCGTCGTGGTAATCGGTGTTCAGGCATACGTAACACATGGCCCAACCATCTCAGTCGATGAAGATTTATCACCTCATCAACTGATTTACCATCGTTACCTAATACCCTGCGTCTAACCTCACTATTACTTACTCGGTGATCCCAGCAGATGCGAGCAATATTTCTAAGGCATCTGTGGTCAAATATTAGTAACCTACGAGTATCTTCTACTCTTAATGGCCATGTTTCGCAGCCGTAAAGTAGAACAGAACGAACTGCTGCGCAGTATACTCGTCCCTTAATTGATAGACGGATATCTCGTCTTCGCCATAGGTGACGTAAGTTGGCAAAAGCCAAACGAGCTTTTTGAATCCGTGCTGAGATTTCGTCAGACACCAACCCATTAGGGCTGATCAGACTTCCAAGATAAGTGAAGTTGTCAACGCGTTCGACTACTTCACTACCTATCCTTAGTTCGAGTGTTGACGCAGGCCAGTCCTGGAGTAACAATTTACATTTGGATGGGGAGAAACGCATCCCAAACATCCTGGCATTATTACTCAGTTCCAACAGAAGACTCTGCATTTTGTCAGCGTCTTCACTAAACAGGACTATGTCATCTGCGTATTCTAAGTCGCTTAGTGGTCCCCCTGGTAGGAGATCAATTCCTGTAAACTCAGTTGACGAGAGTGTCATTTGCAGCAACAGGTCTATAATGAAGTTAAACAAAAAGGGGGATAGTGGACAGCCTTGACGGACACCACTTGAGGTTGTAAAATCATATGACAGTTCGCCATAAGCTCTCACTCGACTGGTAGTAATCGAGTAAAGAGCCTTCACAAGGTTTATGTACTTCTCAGGTACACCTTTCAATGACAGACACTGTCACAGAACCTCTCGGTCTACAGAGTCAAATGCTGCTTTCAAGTCAAGAAAAACTATCATTGTCGGACGCCGATAAGCATGTCTGTGCTCTAAAACTTGACGAATGGTGAATATGTGGTCGATACAGACACGACCAGGTCTGAAGCCAGCCTGATTTTCTCGTGTTTGCAGTTCACGAGTTTTAGTTAGGCGCCTGATAATTATTGAGGCTAGTATTTTAGATACTATGTTAGTCAGACTAATCCCTCTATGGTTATCGCAGGATGATTTTGACCCCTTTTTATATATTGGGACAATCAGTGATTGTGACCAGTCGGATGGGATTACATCCGTCTCCCAGATTTTAGCCAGAATATTAGTCAACCTAATCGCTAAAATTGGACCACCATATTTAAAGACCTCTGGAGCCAATCCATCAGGACCAGCTGCTCTTCCCCGTTTCAGATTACCTATAGCCTTTTGAACTTCAAGTAGGGTCGGGGGGCCTACTTCAATGTTCCATTCAGGTTTTCTAGGAATAGTGGGTAGTTGTGCAGTAGCTGAAGGCCAGCTAAACTGCTCCTTAAAGTGTTCCACCCATCGTTCTAAACGTTTGGGTAGAGAGCAGATAAGGGTTCCATCTTTTTCCGAGATCGTCTCACTTACACTTGACTTCTTAATTCCAGTTTCTTTTATTAGTCCGAATAGTTGCCTGGTGTTGCCTACAGCCGCTGCCTTTTCCATCTCTTTTGCTTTCGTTGCCCACCACTGCTCACGATCGTTCCTTAGACTTTTAGTTAACCTAGATCTAATTTGTTTACGCTCTTCGTCATGTTCAGAGCCTGATGGTATGAGTTTACGCGAATCCATCAGTGAAATAGACTTAGAAGAAATCCACTGGTTTTTTGGAGCCCTATGGTTTAAATGACTAATAGATGTAACTGCTGTTTCCACAGCTGTTCGTATGCCTTTCCAAGCAGCATCTGGGTCAGTCTCGTTTATAGAACTGCCTAGATGTGAACTCAGTTGTCTCTGGAATTCACATTTGGCTTTCTCGTCCTCCAGTTCAATCCTAACGGGTCTTCTTAGTTTACTTTTCCTGCGTCCATTGAGGCGCAGACAAATGCGTGCTCGTATTAAAGCGTGATCAGAGTCTAAACAAGTATTCCAATACGAGCGACAATCTTCTATTGAGCCTCTCCAACGATGACTGATGACAATATGGTCTATTTGAGTCCATCGTTGGTTTGGTGCAGGTGGTCGCCATGTTAGACGATGTCTCTCCTTATGTTTAAAATTAGTGCTTGCCAAAAATAAACGATTGCCTGAGCATAGTTGCAACAGACGATCACCATTATCGGTTCGTTGAGCCGGAATACTAAAACACCCACCTAGATGTCTTTCTCTTTGATTTAAGCTGCCTACCTGTTCATTAAAGTCACCCGCTACGACTACTATGTCTGAGCGCTTAGCTTTCTGAAGAAGCTCAGAGAGCTTTCTGTAAAAGTCATCTTTCACCTCATCATGGCTGCAGTCAGTGGGAGCGTAGGCAGAAACGACGAAAAGGCAACGACGTGTGTCCCTATCCTTCCGAGTTCCTACGGAGCTATTTAGCCGGACAGCATACAGGCGACTGTCTAATAGTGCCTGTTCTGCCCTTGTACTTAGTGCTATACCTACACCTGCAAGTCCACGAGAACTAGCCAACGGGTCGCCAGATACACGGAGGGTGTATTTCGTTGGCTGTCCATTTTGGTGAGGTGAGGTCAAGTGAATGACCACACTAGGATCCTGTATGCGTGTTTCGGAGACACAGCATACATCAATGGTACGCGACTCTAAGGTTTTAGCTAAGGAGGCCTGTTGACCGATTTGACTTAAAGTACGTACGTTGAAGGCTCCAATGTGTAGTTTGGAGCGAGGTTTAAGTAGACCTGGGACAGCGTTTCGCGCACTAGAATCGTTGGCCATGGTGACACTTGAGGAGGAAACCGAGAGAGGAAGTTTAGTGTTGAAAGTCAAGGTAGTAGGAATTGAAGAAGGAGATTGATTATGAATACAGTGGTCTTGAGTGTTGTTAGAGGTATGAGGGCAGTTATCACTTCCCGGTTGCCCACACCGTGGAAGGATTCTTCTAGAGGTACCTGAAAAGGGAATTGGGTTAGAAGTGGTCTTAATGACCGGAGAGCGTGACCGCAGTGCCCAAGGGACAACTGCTTGAGGTCGGTCACACACGACCTTTTTGTGGGTAGTTTTTGTGTTAGCTCCGTTCTTCAATGGACCTTACCGCCGGAGACGGATATCCGTGGGATAAGGCGAGGTGTGCATTTTTAGGGTCGACCTTTTCTAACCCCACCCCTCCTTGTGGGAAGGCAGCATCGCTGTCATGCTGGTTGTCTGAAGGAAACACCTTACTGCTTTCACACCTCTGTACAGTCAGCAGTACGACTTCGCCTTCGGACCTTGGGTTTGCTGCTTTTAGTCTCACCGCTCTTCAATCGACCTGTCTGGCATGGTAGGACCTCGAGGAACGATTGTTCCAGCCAGCATAGCTCGATTGGATCATCACGATAGGCAAGCCCGACCACCACGTCAAGGTAGCAGCAACGGTCGGGAAATAATAAGTCACGATTGGTTAAATCAATTTGGTTCACATTCCTTCTCTGATTCATTTCGTTTCCTACTTATTGTTTCTCTGAATGTCTATTCCGATAAACGATGATATGAAATAGACGTATTCAAAATCCATTCTCGTACTTGACTTACTTAGTTCCTTTATTCACTAACTCAATTTAAGTCGATAATTAAATATGAGGAATTGGTGGCATGTATATTTCGATAGTGATCATTCAATAAGAATCGGTGTCCAATTGGAGTCAGATAAAGTTTCATTAAAAGTATATCATCCTCTAGGTTTACTGTTTCTTTCTTATTTTTCATTGATAGGTAAACTTCACTGATCAATCAACAGCTATGCAAACAATCAATCAATGGATTTCATCTAAAACAAACAATTTAATATCACAATTTTTTAATCATCCACATGAAATACTACCGAATTCTTTATTGAATTTGTTTAGTATATTTTACTTTAAAGGTAAATAACTATGTATTAGCAACTTATATATTAGTAACAGTCAAAGGCAGTTTAGAATGTTCTGACTTGCAATAATTAAAAGACACATCAAACAAGAAACCGAATTAAGCTTCAATCTACACTATTCATTAACGGTTATATTATAAATCCAGGACTCGCTTTTTGTCCTACTTGGGACTCGTCAGATGGGTGAACCTGCATCTCAGAGTCAATGTTCACACTGGAACTCGTACTCAGTACCTTCCACTTCAAACGTTATCACGTTATCCACTTAGCTACTGATTCCTGATAGCTACCTCCTTGTGCAATGGGGTGAAGTTAAAATTCACTTGATGTTGTTCAATTGTATATTCCCATTGTTATTTAAAACTGCAATATTTAGGCAGTTCGCACATGATACACATATGCCAATAGGAGATTGATTAACTGATGTCCTAAATAACAATGGGAAGATACAAATAAACAACACTAAGTGAATTTAGATTATATTGTGAATTAATACTTTGATTCTTCACTACCGTCGGTTTTCAGGACGAGATTATAACAAGTTTTATTGAAATTCATAAACATAAGAACTGAGAAATCAGATGAAGTCAATAGTGTGAATTCAAGTTAAAATTTCATTGAATTGATAGTGTAACAAGATCATTACATAATTATTGGGTTAAACCATGTTGAATATACACAATAATACATCTTTTGTGATACCATCTATGATAGCTCATGTTAATTCTAGACTATGTACGCGTTCTATATATATATGTATACATACTTACGTACTTACTTTCTCCTGTTACTCCTAATGGAGCATAGGCCGCCGACCAGCATTCTCCGAACCACTCCGCTCTTGACATTCCTCTCTAGTTCTATCGAATTCTTCTTCATTCTTCTAATATCTGTTTTCATTTGTCGGGGGTAATGTATTCTTTGGTCTTCCTCTTCTTTTTTGACCTTGAGGATTCCATGCGAGAGATTGTCTTGTAATGCATTTGGGTGATTTCCTCAATGTGTGTCATATCCACTTCCATCACTTCTTCTTGATTTATTACTTAACTGGAAACTGGTTTGTTCTCTCCCATAGTAAGTAGTTGTTGATAGTGTCTGGCCATTGGATGTGGAGTATCTTGAGTAGACAACTGTTAACCAACACCTGCTTCTTCTTGATGATGGGTTTCGTAGTTCTCCATGCCTCCGCCCCATACAATAGAACTGTCTTAACATTTGTATTGAAATTATTCTCAAGTAGCACTGATATATATATATATATATATATATATATATATATATATATATATATATATAGATAGATAGATAGATAGATAGATAGATAGATAGATGGATAGATATTTCAATCTAGTTGCAGTATTAGTGAATTCGTATTTTATTTTACCAAAATTAATATAGTACTGTTTTTCTTGATTTAAATCCTTTCAATTCTCAATTACATTAGATGTTTGGGAGGTGCAGTTTATGGAAATGTTCACAGAAAATGCAACTTTTGAAGTATCTTCAGATCGTCAAATACAAGTACCGATAATGTTTAATGAAGAAGAGTTAGGCTATGCTGATTTTAAATCAGAAGGATTTGAAATGATCAGTAAATCTTTTAAGGTTAGAATAAAGCATACAATTTACATATCTCAAATGTTTATATTATCATTGTTGTGACTTTATGAAAGGTCATCGGCAATTTGTTATGATTTTATGTCCGACTTTAATCACATGAATCATCCATCAATCGAAATGACGATATAGATAGATAGATACTTTTCAAGATAAGAAATCTATAGAAGGTTGATGTATAATTGGTATATTAATTCACAAGTATTATAAGTAAAGATGGTTAGTGACTAACAGTGAAATCCAGGATGCTTAATTCGTACTATTTGTGACTAATCAGCTAGATTTACCTGCATCTCAGAGTTTATTTTCACTCTCGGATTCAAACCCAGTACCATTCGCTTCAAACGCCATCGCGTTATCCACTCAAATAATGAGTTCTAATAGCCATTTACTTGTATAATTGAGTGAAGTTTAAATTCACTTGATATCGTTTTGTTAAAACCTTCAAATTGATGTGTAAAACTGTAATTGATCAGTCTTTTATTCTGCTATGAACATCAACTCTTAGATACCGGTACATTCATCTGATAAATCTAAAATTGAACGAAACGCGCATCGTGGATTCTACTACCAGCGATTATCCATCTTTGTTTATAAGGATGATATATGTTTTGATGAAATAAAATTCTCAGAAGGGGTTTTGTGGAGATTTTAGTAATTTATAGAGTTGAGATCATGAGTGACTGACTCCTTGAGGTATTTCCTGGAGTTCTAGTGAGAAGCAGTAAACGGTGGAGTTCAACCAGGTCTGTTGTGAGATAGGAACTCACTGATGACATTGGTGAATGGTTGCTGAATTTCGTGAATCAGTTGAAGTTAGACATTAACACCGTTGGATGCCAGCTCAGTGGTCTATCGATTAAGTGTTCTGGCGCGAGACTGGTAGGTCCTGGGTTCAAATCTCGCTCGCGAGGTGGGATCATGGATGCGCATTGCTGAGAAGTTCCATAATAGGATGAAACGGCCGTCCAGTGTTTCCAGGTTTTCCATGGTGGTCTAGCTTCAATTGACTCATGATCTCAACTCTAGAAATAAAATTCTGTTGAAACTTTCGTAAGACACAATCAAATCCAATTTTTTTTTTGGTTACTTCTTTCCATAGAATACAAGATTTACTTTCATTGTAATATTACCTAAAGAAAAAAAATCGAACTTAAATTTGTTATCACAATTTCTTATGGGTAATCAGTCATTACAGAACTATATTCAACAGTTAAAGAGTGAAAGAGTTTCATTGAAACTTCCAAAATTCAAATTAGAATCAATATTAGATCTTGAAAATATACTTAAACTACATGGAATTCATGATCTATTTGATCCAATTAAAGCTAATTTATCAGATTAGTTAATAGATTAGATGTGTATTCAATGTTTCGAATTGTTTGAAGAGAAAGTAATTATGTAAATTTGAAAACAAACTGGAACCATTGGATGGGTGTTTCGTCCCGATTGTGAATTTCTTCAGTGGTGGTACGTATCCACGATCCAAACTCATGAGATTCGAACCCAAAACTTATCAGTCTCACAAGCGAGCACTAAATTTAATCTATTGACTTGTTTGAAGCGAAAGAAATGATGTAAAATTTGAAATTAACTATAGGAAGTAATATTTAGAGAGGGATAATGAAACTGTGTGAGAATATATAACCAAGTATTGATGTCAACATGAATAGAGTCGTATAGAAATCCATGGAATAACAGTTTATATCTCTTCAAGTTATAATTTGATGGTTTACTTAATCGAATAACTTGTGTCACACTTTGTAACACGGATTTCCTTCATAAAGGATATAAACATAAATACACATTATGATATTGTTGAATCTTTAAGGCCGGTTTAATATTACGTGACGTATTCACTAATCGGAATACGACTTATACAATCTTAGCACTATGTCAAATGAATGACGTTCGATCCGTATGAGCAGCCTAATGTCCTTATTGATCGCTTGTTTTTCTAATTCTTCCAGAACACTGATAACACCTTCCACTATACAAATCATTTATTTTAAACAAACTTGATTTATATACCAATCAAACAGGCCACATCACACCACAAAATAGGGAATACTATTTGTATAAGATCAAGCCAAAAGTGGCTGTGAACGTGGGAGACTGTAATCAATGAACTGTACATAACTTAAGAACAACAAATCGTACAACAATAATCTATAAGTCAAAAACGAAACTAATAATAAGAGGAATATGAATATGCATATTCTAGTTGCTGAATAGCCATACAATACGAATATATATAGAATAATCATCCATTAATAGGTCCCGGAAGTCACCTATAAATTATTATTTACTAGGATATAATAGATATGACATGTATTCTATGAAGTTACTTTCATTTGATGGAGTTTTATTTCGTCACTATATCTCTAACATACCTTCTATTTTTAAAAGTTCATAAACATTGACATATATGCTTACTGTGCGCATTGCCTCCGTATTAGCCTTAATTCACAAGGATTATAAGGAAAGATGGATAGTAGCTAGCAGTGGAGTGCAGGATGTGCATTTCGCCCCATTTAGGGCTCGTCAGATGGATGTACCTGCATCTTAGAGTTGATGTTCATAGCCGAATTAGAGACTGTTCAATTACAATTCTACACATGAATGGGAAGATCAAAAGAAAGGCAAAATTAAAACCCGATTGCACAAGCAGGTGGCTATCAGAACTCACTATTTGAGTGTATAACGTGATAGCGTTTGAAGCGAACAGTACTGGGTTCGAGTCCCAGAGTGAACATCAACTCCGGGATGAAAGTAAATCCATCTGACGATTCTTAAATACGACGAAACGCGCATCCTGGATTCCACTATTAGCCACTATCTATCTTTACTTACTTTTACTTTCTACTGAAATTTCTTTTCAAACTTTCTTTATATAGGTATAACGAGTCAATCCAATATTCATGTTACTTCTTTTCAACAAAAAGATATTATTCGTATAAATGAATTTGGAATTGAAGCTGGATCTGTTGCGAATGCAATGTTTATTCCATTATCTTCATATAGAAATCCAATTCAATTTCATATTACACACCCATTTCTCTGTTTTATATATGATAAAGAATTAAACCTTTCATTATTTGCCACTCGTGTAATAGAACCATTACAATAAATCTATTATTCATATATTACATAATCTGTTTTATCTATATAAAGTTAAAACGGAACAATATTAGAGATTATCAGTGAATTATTTATTTACTTAGTTATTTAAACATCTTAATATTGGTACAAGGAAGCACTAGATACATATGCGTCGCACAAATCTTATTCGATTTATGTGAGGGCTATGATACTGTTCAGGTGCCCAAACTGAACCAGGTGGTTCTCTTAGGGGGACACACTCGGAGTCTTTGACCTAAAGGTCTAACCCACAAGGCATTGGAGCATCGTGAGTGGATGCAGTCCCATGGTAACCGCTGACCAACAACAGGTTCACACGCAATTTGTTCACGGAGGATTCTGAAGCCCATATGCACCATTGATTTGAAATCAGAGTTTTCCAACTCCCCTAGGTGGACCTCCGTGTCAAGGGCTCCGGGTGCGCCCCCCTAAGAAAATCACCTGTTTCGGTTTGGGCACCCGGGCAGTATCACAACCCTGACACAAATCAAATGAGATTTGTGTGACGCATATATATCTGATGTCCCTTTGTACCAATATTTATGTGTTTTAATAGATAATAACACAGGCACTTTTAGCTTGATTTTGTAAAGTTTAGTTTTTGTTTTATGGTGTTATACAGTCTGTTATGCTTGTATGTAATACACGTACGTCTGAAATATATTTCTTATATATTGGAGTCTGATATTGTGTAGGTAGAACTACGCAAGAAGTTAATTTTTCAAGAACCAGTAAAGATTCAAAGTTAACTCAGGGCTGTTAGTGATGGTTGATGTATCATTGGTATAGCACAGTGAAAAGCCACAGAATTCGACATTCTGGTCCAAGATTTGATAACATGATAACTGACAGAGGCATAAGTAATAACAGTTTTCGTGTGTGATTATAGTTGTACAGGTAATAGCGTACAACTTAAATTGTCAGAATTCACATAAATTCATTCTATGAAAGTATCTCAATCATTACATTTTATTTCAAGCTACACCATAATCTTCCGCTAATATAATTTTCCAATAGTTCTAGCAGTTATGCTACATGTCTATCACTAGAAGAATTCGGATGCTTTAAACAGTCATCACTTCATGGCTACTTGAATGATGGACAACTGCGAAGTATTTCCTTGATGTATTACATCCCATGAAAGTAATGAGTGAATTTCCTAATTATAAATAACGATGTTCGGCAGTAAATTCATTATTTGGATGTTCCTAGTTCAGGCTGTAAAATAATATACTTTAGTAATCTGATGACACAAAGTGAATGATGTTGAACATAATCAGGCTTTCCTGTTGACTACCTCTAACCATCATTTCACCTTAACATATTGTTCACGATATCGGTCACGAAGACTCGTGACCACATCGGAACTTTGTTGATAGAATACGATCAGCACTAAGGAAGACCTGACACATATGAAATTGATTACCAGTCCATGGTCAATCAATTTTAAATATAATCTCCTGGTGATCGACTGGCTCATGAAGACGTCAACATCTGAAGGAAAGCACGGGATACAGTGGACTGGCAGGATGCTGCTTGACGATTTAGACTTCGCGGATGATCTGGCTCTTCTATCACAAACGCAACAACAAATGCAGGAAAAAACGATCAGCAGCCTCAGCAGCAGTAGGTCTCAATATAAACAAGGGGAAAAGTAAGACTCGCCGATACAATACAATATGCACCAATCAAATTACACTTGACAGAGAAGCTTTGGAGGATGTGGAAACCTATACATATCTGGGCAGCATCATTGATTAACACAGTGGATCAGATGCAGATGTGATGGCGAGGATCGGCAAGGCAAGAGCAGCATATTTACAAGTGAAGAACATCTGGAACTCAAAACAACTCTCAATCAACACCAAGATCAGAATTCGGAATACAAATGTGAAAACAGTTCTACTGTATGGGGCGGAGACGTGGAGAACTACGAAAGCCATCATCCAGAAGATACAAGTGTTTATTCACAGTTGTCTAAGCAAAATACGTTGGATCCGTTGAACAGACACGATCAGCAACTAGTTACTGTGGGAGAGAACAAGCGAGATTCCATCCAGTGGAGGAAGAAATCAGGAAGAAGCGATGGAAGTTGATAGGACACACATTGAGGAAATCACCTAACTGCGTCACAAGACAAGCCATCACTTGGAATCCTGGAGGCCAAAGGAGAAGATGAAGAAGACCAAAGAACACATTACACTGAGAAATAGAGACAGACATAAGAAGAATGAACAAACCATAAGTCGACATAAGTAGCATACACTATAATACTACTCATTTATTTAAAATTAAGATTATCATCATTATAACTAGGGTTTCGAATTTTAAAGTATACCTGCTTACTTTACTAGAAAAAGCAACATAGATGCTTCACAACTTATTTATTGGTAAGATACCTACATAACTAATGAAATAAATTCTTGACTATGAATTGAAACGTTCCTTTTTGAACAAAGTATTATGCTTAGAATGATTAGAATAAACGAAACAAGTACCTCTATTAGATCCGATAATAGAACATTGTTGTATCCTGTGGAGAATTATGATTGGTAACTTTTGGGAACTATTTGTGGACTAATATGATATGTATATTTCCTATTGTATAATTAGTAAGTAACTAAACTATTCATATTCCTGTCCCATTATTTTAAGCTTTATTTTGACCTATAGACTATTATTATATGATTGACCGTTCTTGAGTTGTCCCCAGTCTCTTGATTACTGTTTCCCACATTCACAGACACATTTGGCCAAATCTTGTCCAAATGTTATTTTCTAGTTTATGCTAAGATGTGATCTGTCTATTAGGTATATAAACGCAGTATGTTTGAGAATAAATATTCATAATGCAGAGGCTTTTGTTGATGTTCTGGACTCAACTGACTGAGCTAAGCAGAGGGCAGGACTAATAAATACTCAAGACTGCTCATACAGCTTTTGTGTGTCCTTAATCTTATCGAGAATTCACTCCTCTCTAATTGGCGGAGATCATCACATCATATATCAAACAGGGCACGCAAGCACGCATTCAATCAATAATAACAAACATTTACATACATTTGATATTGTATTATTATTATTCAATAATTAATAATTTAAAAAATTTTACAATTAAATACTATGAGGGTTGTACAGTGTTGTCAATCTTCACTGTTGAAGGATCAAGCCTTTACCTGAAAAATACAAAAAACCATTTGATCATGATGTTTCAGAATATTTATAAAGTTGACAAGTTTCTATGTCAACAAATGGATGAGACCATAATTTATGGACGAGCCAATCAGGTCAAAGATAGCAGGTCTTTGATTTTGGCGCGAAGTTCATTTACCCATTTGAATAAATAGAGTTTTTATATTTTAGATGATATCAGTTCGAGATGAAAACTATCAATCTAAGTATTTACCTTGGACATCAATTGTAAATCATCATTTTAATTCATCACATAGGTTTATAATCTTCGTTTCGTTCTAGATATTAAGTGAACACAGTCATGATCACTTTAGCATCGCTTGAAGATCACCTATAAATTATAGTCCCACCGACAGATGAAACAAACTTCTAAACATCATATTATATTGTATTTAGAAAACGTTTTCACAATTAGATATTTTTTCATAGTCAATCGAAGCTAGACCACCATGGAAAACCTGGAAGCACTGGACGGTCAACTCGTTCATTGTGGGACTCCACAGCAGTGCGCATCCACCAGCCCTCCTCGCTAGCGAGATCCGAACCCAGCGCCTACCGGTCTCCCGTCAGAGCACTTAACCGATAGACCAGTGAGTTGGCCGGCATTCAACGGTGTTAATGTCCAACTTCAACCAATCCAAGAAATTTGAGCAACCGTTCACCAATTGTCTTCAGTGAGTTGTTATCTCACAACAGACGTGGATGAACTTCACTGGTCACTGCTTCCCACTAGAACCCCAGGAAATATCTCTTGAAGTCAGTTACTAGTGAGCATATGATTATAGATCAGATGGGATTTTGAGGAGATTTCAGTATTTTCGCAGTTGAAATCATTAGTCAATTGAAGCTAGACCACTATGGAAAACGTGGAAGCACTGGACGGCCGTTTCGTCCTATTGTGGGACTGACTCCTAGAGATATTTCCTGGAGTTCTAGTGGAAAGCACTGACTAGTGGAGTTCAACCACGTCTGTTATAGAGATATCATCCCACTGAAGACAATTGGTGAACGGTTGATCAAACATCGTAGATTGGTTAAAGTTAGACATTAACACCGTTGGATGCCGGCTCAGTGGTCTATCGGTTAAGTGCTCTGGCACGAGTCTGATAGGTCCTTGGTTCGAATCTCGCGAGGCGGGATCGTGGATGCGCAGCGCTTGGTAGTCCCTTAATAGAATTAGTTTTACCATTTCTAACGTAATTAGAAATCGGAATATTATGAGAATAATAGGAACTGAAAATATTGTGATTGCCTAAATCAGTAATATGAAACTCTCCAAAGAAATTAGAATGATTAAACTAAAGGAAATATATATAGGAATCAATTTCTTTTTAAAATGTTCATTATTACTTAAGTAATATCTATATCTTAAGTTAACAAATAATATTGCAATATGAGGTTGTGAAGATTGTCAAATTTTTGATTAAGATCATGAATCGATTGATATTAGATCACCATTGAAAACCTGGAAGCACTGAAAGGCCAAGTATGGAACTCCTTAGTGGCGCACATTCATGATACCATGAGCGGCACTCAAACTCAGGACTTCCAGTCTCGCGGACAATCACCTGACCTCCAGACTATTTAGCTGACATCCAACGGTGTTATTGTCTAACTCCCATAGATTCCAAAATAGCTGCGCAATCATTCATCCATTGTCTGAGGTAGATATCTGTCTCTACATAACACGTATTGGACTCCATTGTTCATGGTCTCTCACTAGAACTTTGAGAATTCCAGCACGCAGCTAGTCACTAGTGAGCACATGGTGATTTTTCATGATTAAAATATCTGAAAACCTATAAAACAATTTTCTACCATTTCTTATACTTTATACATATACATAATAAACGTACCTTGCAAAACATGTTAATATTAGGGCATATTATTTCCCCACTAAGTCTCGTACTCCTATCAGTTACATTAAAACGTACTAGCTGACCTTTTTTGGCACAATTCACAGTGGAATCTTTGAAGTATAAACTAAGTGTCCCATTTTTATGACATTCGTGCTAAAAAAGGCAATTTTGTAAAATCATTCAGGATGAAATTGATGTGACGATATAATACATCAGGTTAAATTAAAGATACTTTGAAGATTCTGATTGAAAGTTGGGGATTAAAAAAGTACGAAGATATAACTGATATATGCCAATGAGAATAATGGATGGTAAATGTTGAGATCCACTGAGGGACTAATACTTAGGCCACGTGTTACGTATGCCTAAACACCGATTACCACGACGCGGTATGCTGATTAGCGTAGGGGATGGTTGGAAAAGAGTAAAGGGCGGCCAAACTAAAACATGGCATCAGTGCTTGAAGTCACTAACTTCCAGTCTGAGCCATGTTGGTAGATGCAGACTACCTAGTTGGGGTCCGCTTGACTATCGTAACCAATGGTTGGAGACCCTGTTTGACATGGATCAGAATCGATCAAAATACGCAGGTTTATACACAATTTATCTTCCCTTAAACCTTGAGATTAAAATTGCTTTATAACTTTCTTCCTTCTTATACTATATCCTTATATACAACCTTTCTTTTATATATTACCTCCACTAAATTAACTACTTCTATGAATTCGGTGTTCATCTTGTTGTGCTAATGAGGTATGACAACATGGACAGATGCATAAATGTGCCTGGTCCTACGTTTTAGCTGACTGACTGAGGGACTAATACTATACATATATTCTTATTGTATAATTATTCAGTAGTTAGATTATGTTTATTCAGATTCCTCTTATGATAAGCTCTATTTTGATTTATAGGCTATTAAGATGTGATTTGCTGTTGTTAAATTATGCCCAGTTTATTAATTACAGTCTCTCACAATCACAGCCACTTTTTGGTTTGATTTTGTACACATGTTGTTTTCTATTTTATAGTGTGATGTGGTCTGTTTGGTTCGTATATAAACCAAACATGTTTGAAAAACATGATTCATATAGCGGAAGCCCATAATTTTGTTCTGGCTTCAACTGTCAGGGATAGACAAGAAGAGTTGATGTTCACTCTGGGACTCGAACCAAGTACCGTTCTTTTCAAATATCAGTGCGATATCCAACTAGCTACTGAGTCCTGATAGACATCTAGTTGAACGATGAAGTGAAGTTATATTCGTTATTAGACCACATTCTGAAGATTAAATTCGAGGCAATCATGTTCTGTTTTATAATATTTTCTATTTATTTTCAGTAATGCCAACTATCTAACTCAAAAGTTATTAAACGTTTATATCATCTTAAAATCTTGATCTCGTCTATAAAACCTCAGTAGACAATAGAAATATATTCAAGAACGGAACTGTACCTTGTGACAACTTCCTTGTAAATTTTTCCCTAATGAATGTACATGTCTGTCGGTATAAGTCCAATCACCTGTATGTGTAACACACATTGAATTTGGCCCATATGTTTGGTAGTATCGATTAGTGCCTTTATCTGATATGAAAAATAAGTTTACAAACAACTGATTAATCATTTCTTATCTATTCAGAATGACAAGTTAAGTATACAGATAGGTTGACATTGTAAAATCTGATTAGGTATGTTATATCTAGAGCATTGATTCTTACTATGCCGCGTACCCTTGATTACTTGAGCAATAAAACCTGCAACGTCACAAGATAGAAGACTAGTAAGTAGGAACTTTTATTCCTACAAAACAGTGTCAAAGCATAGTAAAGAAATATCATTTATTTATAGTTTTTGACTGAGAGTAAATCATCATTTCAGACAGCCAATAGGCACATAGGGATCATTCTTATCCTCCATCCAATGGGGAAGGTACATGTCGACATTCTAGAATATTCCCCTAGTAGTGATTGGATGGAATGTCTGTTACTCTTTCTAGGCTTCTTAAAGCTTCCTAGAGTTTATCAACAAGCCGTCCTTACAGATTAGGAATTAGATTTAAGGTTTTTCATCTTAAACTAATGTTGTTTAAAATGCCAAAACTATATTTATCCAAATGGATGAATGAATTTTGCGCCAAAAATCAAAAATCTGTTATCTTTTACCTGATTGGCTCATCCATAAATTATAGTCTTGCCTTTATTGATGAAAGTATGAGTTTATTCTAAATGTGTACTATGCAGAAAAATAGAGAGTACTTACGTGATAATTCAATATTCTCTTTATGTGTACAGAATGATGTTGCTTCATAATCGCTGCCCAAACCTTTAACATACTAAAAACAACGAAATCATATAAGAGTATGGTTAGTAAAAAATTATTTTAATAGATAAGATCATGAATCAATTGAAGCTAGACCATCAATTGAATACCTGGAAGCATTGGACGACCGTTTCAACTGATCCATGATCTAAACTGTTAAAATTACTATCATTATCCACAAAACCCCATTCTGATATTAAAATACTTTTTTTTCACAAAAAATAAATTAAAATTACAAACTCTTCCTTCAGATAATTTCTCTCCCCTCTTCCTCTTTCTTCTGGTGTTTGACTGGATTATGTAGACTACTATTTCTGACAGGAAGGCTGGAATACAATGAACATCTCAGAATCAATTAGATAATTTGGATTTCGAAGATGACACACCTCTCCAATCTCATACACAATAACAAACACAGACGAAAACAACTAGTGTAGCAACATCCTCTGCATCAGTAAGCCTCAACATGCATAAAAGAAAAAAGCAAGGCTCTACAATCCAACACGGTGAACGCCAATCCAATCACACTTGATGGCGAAACTTTGGAGGAGGTGGAAACATTTACTTACCTTGTCAGTAGCATCACTGATGAACAAGAAGGATTTGATGCAGATGTAAAGGCAAGGATTGGCAAAGTAAGGACTGCATTACTACAGTTGAAAAACATATGGAAGTCCAAACAACTGTGTTGAGTCGGCCTCTAGAGAACTCTAACAGAGCCTCCAGAGGCTCATAAAGAGCCCCAACCAATCAGCGAATAATTAGAAGTTGTGTGAAGTTATGTTACAAAAATAACGAGATCCTGATTGACTGATTAACACACTGCTACTATGTAAACTCAAGTTCTCTTAATTACGATAAAATCCTTGTATTTTCTGTACATAAATGAACCTTGCAGTAAAGTGTTTCTCTCATACTCGTGTCTTCTTACTGGTGTTCAAGTCGCTGAGTAGTGCTAGCCCTGGGGTTGTCCGAATACCTTAGGATCTGAATAAAGCGTTCAGCTTACAAGACGTATCAAACTGTCAACTAATTTCAAAGTGAGAATCTTCAATACGAACGTTAGACAGTCAGTTCTACTGTACGTAGCTGAAACGTGGAGAACTACCATAACCATCATCAAGAAGGTACAATTATTTAGAAACAGTTGTCGACAACAGCGTTTTATGGGAAAGGACAAACCAAATTCCATTTGAAGAGGAAATTAGGAAAGGACGTTGGAAGTGTATCGGACATACATTAAGGAAATCACCAAACTGCATCACGAGGCAAGCACTAACTTGGAATCCGGAAGGGAAGCGGAAAAGTGGAAGGGCAAAGAACACATTACTTTGGGAAATAGAAGGAGATATGAAAAGAATGAATGTTAACTGGAAAGAAGTGGAAATGATTGTTGAGGACAGTGTTGGATGGAGAGTGCCGGTGTGCGGTCTATGCTCATCCACGAAGGGTAGCTGGAGTAAACAGGTAAGTAAGTAAGTAATTTCTGATTACGGTCGGTAATCAAAAAGAGTTATGGAAGCTGATCAAGAGGCTCAAGTTGTAATGCTAAACGTTATAGGGTGAAATATTCACAAGAAGGTAAAGCAATGAACTTACTACTAGTGTTGGACAATAGTCTTTAAATGGATCTTCCCCACCGAAAAAACTGGGATCATATCGAGTACCAAATGGATCTTTTGTAAAGAACCGATCTTCTATGGGAACTGGAGTATGATATCTCAAAATAGAACATGTTCCATATGAGTATGCATCCCGACATGTTGCTTTACGAATAACGTCACAGAATGGGACATATGATCTGTTACTTAACGAAAAAGCAATCAATTTAAAGTGATTTATAAAATATTAATAAATTGGTTTTCTTTTTGGCATGTATATTTATTTGAAGTGGAAGATCAACAGTTAGACAACTTCATTCAATAGTTCATCTTTAAAGTTCCATTCATATTTGATAGTCTATTGATAGATAAGAATTATTACTTAAAATCTCCATAGAAAACCCCCTTGTCATATGCTCACTAGTGACTGGCTCCACAAGGTATTGCCTGGAGTTCTAATGAGAAGCAGTAGCCAGAGTTCAACCAGGTCTGTTGGGAAATTGATAGATGTTTAATATACTCAAAAATTTCTTTTAAATAATGAATCTGAACTAATAAATTACCACTAGCGATTTCATTTGCACAAATGATGCTATTGATGATGATGTTAAGTTGTTAAGCAAGACATTAATGAGGAAAGGCTATCCACTTGAACTCATAAATAGATGGAAAGTTCTTGGTACAGTGAGACCTACTGTAGCTTTGGCGGAAAAAAGCTTGTCTACATCACCTTACAGTTTAAAAGTGATTCAAATAGCCTTTTATTGAAAATAAAGGTTTAAACCATTCATCAACAAAACGTATTGTGCAGTCAAAGTCATTATCAAAGAAAGAATGAGGTTCAAGCTTAATCCAAAACCTGAAAGACTTGAAAAAGATTGTGTCACATCCCACTAAGTTTACCAATCTCAATGTGTGTGTGGTCACACATACCTAGGGAGTAGCAATATTGATCTGAAAATTAGGGTATGTGTAAGCATGTACCGAAATGATTACAGAAACAAATAGAATCAAATGACCCAATTAGAGTAGAGGATAAACATTCATCATCTTCTATTGCCAAACAAAGTTTGAATAGATTGATTTTAACTCTCCTTTTGTGGTATTGTATAAAAGTGTAAAAGGGCGTGTACTAAGGTTTATTGAAGCCTTAGCCATACGAAAATTTAAACCCCTTTAATGTATTCAAAGACAGTTTGTTCTGACTTTGAACCTACCCTAGTAATATAAGCTTATTATTCAGAGTGATCAGGTTTCAAACTGTTTTCACATTATTTTTATTATTATCCATGTCACCTTTTACCCCCCATTTCTAGTCTAGTTGACTTCTTATTTTTACATATAAATGTTCTTAAAAAGTATATGTGCGATCAGATTGTTCGAAATATATTGCACTAATATAAGTGGCTATCAGGACTCAGTGGCCGAGTGGATAACAAGATGCCGTTTGAAGCGAAACGAACTGGGTTCGTGTCCCAAAGTGAACATCATTTCTGAGATGCAGGTACATCCAGCTGACGAGTTCCAAATAGTACGAAATGCGCTTCAAACTGGATTCCACTATTAGCCACTATCCATCTTTGCTTACAATGCTTGTGAATTAAGGCTATATCGAGGCAATACGCACAGTATGCACATATGCCAATAAGAGACTGACCAGTTGCAGTCCAAAAACATCAATGAGAAGATCCAAACAAACATTACTAAGTAAATTTTATCATCACATAGTTCTGATAATCTACATCTCTTCTTCTTACACCATCGAAATTTATCAAAGGGACTAATTGCTTTAAATATCACATATATTTTTTCGATTAGACATAAATTCATTATCACAAGGAGTTTTGTGGAGATGTAGTATTTCCATAGTTGATGGTATGAGTCAACTGAAGCAAGACTACCAAGGAAAACCTGGAAGCACTGGACGGCCAACTCTTACTATTATGGGACTCCTCAGCAGTGCGCATCCACCATCCCACCTCGCGAGATTTGAACCTAGAACCTACTAGTCTCGCGATAGAGCACTTAACCAATAGACCAATTAACCGGCATCCGACGATGTTTATATCGAACTTCAACCAATCCACGAAGTTGAACAACCTTTCACCAATTGAGGAGTCCCACAACAGGATGAAACGGCCGTCTAGCTTCAATTGACTTATGCTTTCAACTATAAATTTACTGAACAAAGAATTAAATTATAATTTAAATGACAATTAACTTACTAGTGTCGTTGAATTTCAGCATACTCAAAGCAACTTTTCATGACAAAGTTACAACCCAAATTTCTACCATAGAACCATTTCATCGCTTTCTTGTAGTTAACATTGTACCAACTTGAAAATTACATTTTTAAAAAAATATATGAACTCGAATTCCGCATCATTAATTAATTAGTACGAGATATACACTAGAGGGTAATATAGTTAATATAAACTACTAGGTAAGGATAAAAAAATTTTCTGGTTAGCGTTATTATCCTTACCTATCTTTACCTCTTATCAGCAACAACCTACTGTCGGATAGAACAAACCAGATTTCAGTGGAGGAAGAAGAGATGGAAGTGGATAGGACACACATTGAGGAAATCACCTAAGTACATCACTAAACAAGCCCTGACTTCGAATTCTCAAGGTCAAAGGAGAAAAAGATGAAGACCAAAGAACACATTACGCCGATAAATGGAGACAGACATGTAAAGAAGGAACATAAGTTGGACACAAAGGAAAGCCGAGGACAGAGTGGGTTGGAGAATGCTTGTCGGCGGTCTATACTCCATTAGGAGTAACAGGCGTAAGTAAGTAAGTAAGGTAAGGTTAGTAGTTTATTAATAGTTTTATTTTATCTGAAAATAAGTGATTTCAAGATGACTTCAAAATGAATGTTTTAGACAAGCATGATAAAAGAAAAGGTGAAAAATAATAAGTGTGATAAATTCACTGAGTGTTATCAGAAGGGGTTTTTTGTGGAGATTTAGTATTCTCATAGTTGAAAGCGTGAGTCAACTGAAGCTAGACGACCAGGGAAAACCTGGAGGCACTGGACGGCCGTTTCGTTTCGGTTAAGTGCCCTGGCGTGAGACTGGTAGGCCCTGATTTTGAATCTTGCGAGGCGTGTTCTTGGATGCGCACTGCTGAGGAGTCCTACAAGTGGACGAAACCGCCGTACAGTGGTTCCAAGTTTTCCTTGGCGGTATAGCTTCAATTAACTTAGTATCGTTTGTTTGAATAAGAGACTGATCAGTTGCAGTCTTAAACATCAATGGGAAGATTCAAACAAACAATACTAAGTGAATTTAAACTTCACCCCATTGCACAAGCAAGTGGCTATCAGGACTCAGTAGGTAAGTGGATATTGAGATGGCGTTTGAAGCGAACGGTACTGCGTTCGAGTCTGAAAGTGAACATCAACTCTGAGATGTAGGTACATCCAACTGACGAGTCCCAAATAGGATGAAACGCGTGTCCTGGATTTCATTACTAACCACTTTCCATCTTTCTTTAAAATGTGATAAAGTGTATTTAGATTTGAGAAGAGCGATTTCACATAACAGAATTAGAAGCTACATAGAAAATATAGCTTTATCAAGGATAAAACTGTCATTAGTTTACTACTGTACATTTGACATGAATCAATCACTTAATGTATTTTAATTTTAATACAAAACATGAAACTGAGTGCAGAAACCTTCAGTTTGATTAGACGAACCATCCGTAACATTGATCTCACTGAGTATATATATAATACAAGTTGGTACTGACTTCCGGCAATATTTTTGGGCAGTTTTCATGACTTGTAATTACGACTACAATTGGTTTTGCATAATATTTAGTTAGATTCGAGATAGAAGTTTATACCGTTGCATAAGTTTTTGGTATTTCAGAGTCTTGAACAAGGAATCAAAAAGTTTTCATATCTTAACTGATGAGTATTGACAACTATATATTCTCAATCGTATTTATTGATATCCTTTTAGACTGCCTCTAATAATGCCCCTTCAATACCTGCAAACGCAGGCTTGTTAAGGCAATTAAAGCTCAGTCAGTTAGTCACGACGTAGAACTTTGTACGTACGTACATCAGTTCGAGTTGCAATACCACATTAACACAGAGATGCACTTGTCGATTCAAATGACATAGTGGTAGAAGTAGTAAGAGTATAAACAGTAATCCGAAAGATTAGGGTTTGATGATGTTATTGTAGGACTATAATCATGTGAAATAAATTTGGAAAGAGAAAAAAGATAGAGACATGAAGAATTCAGAAGATTAGATTTTGGTAGAACATAAAGTGTGGATGCACCTTCGCCATTACAAACGATTTTGAGCCATGTCATTCAAGGTCTCTAACCATCGATTACTATCATCTCGCGAATCCCAACCTGGTAGTTTACACCCACCAGCATGGCTCAGTCCGATTGTCAGTGACTTCATGAATTTGTGCCATGTTTTGGTCTTGCCACCCCTAGCTTTCTTCCAATTAAAACTACGTCCTTTATGGTCCATATTTCGAAATTGTTAGCAAAATCGCTGCTATTTACAGAGATTCTGAACAACGGCTGGCGTTACTTTTTTATATCTATAGTTATAATTAAAAAAACAGGCAATTAGTTTGCTTAACTTTGCTTACCCTGAATCTTCAAAGAAACTAAGAGTAACACGAGATACCGCGTAATCAACTTCTATTCTTCCAGCCATTATTTCGGCCTAAAATTCAAGATGATAATGCATTAGATAAACGATGAATTAACTCATACTTATAGCTGAGCAATAATATGATTTTCCATGCTATGTCTTCTCAATAATATTTACGTTCTAACCTTTACTAAACTATCATTAACAAACGATATTTCTTCATGAGCTAGACATCCAAGTCTTAATTTAGGTACATGGCCCACTACTACTACTAATAATAATAGTAAATCACTGTAGATGAATAAGATCTGATTACCGTATTGAAATATGTTTCCTTGTTCACGTTAGTAATTAATGATGAATTCAATCCACTGCTTAAAGCCTCAAATGCCCTAGTACGGTCAAAAGTATAGAGAGTTCGCTCTCACTCTCCAAATGCTCTCACATGGACACGCGTATATACCCCCTACCAGGAAAGTCCTACTCACTGTTTTCTCGTGCCACAGTTGTTGTTTACGAAATTGAGAGGACGAAAACCGAGTGTCCGGAGCTTTACCCGGGTTGGTGGACAAGGCGCGTTCACCTAGGGGAGTTGGAAATCCCTGATTCCAAACCAATGGTGCACATGAGCTCCAGTATCTTAAGGGAACAAATGGTCAGCGGTTACGGTGAGTAGGACTTTCCTGGTAGGGGGTATATACGTGTGACCATGTAAGAGCATTTGAAGAGGGAGAGCGGACTCTCTATACTCTTGGCCTTACCAGGGCATTTGGGGGCCAACATTTATCTAATTTAGTGTGACCTTTCATTTTGTATCATTTTAGTATGAAGTGATATTTTTGTTGGGCATGTTAAATCCACAGAACTCACTTGATAAATGACTTATTTTGTAATTATATTTTGAAATTTTGAATTTCTTTGTTTTCGCGCCAAAAGCTCTCTTTTCACCTTCGAGTCGAATTTCCCATTTGTAAAATATCTTAAACGCTGTTGGTCAGTTGTGTCTTTTAATGTGCTATTTTGTAATGCTTCTCAAGGACAATTTTATGCTATATATACATATATATATAGTTTTTTCTTCCCTTGTGATTGCTATGCTTCTGATCACCACCAAGCGATCAGTCAATTGTGATTACATCTCAGTCCTACAGGAGGTCAGTCGCTGTCCGAATAGCTCAGTGGTAACGTCTCTGACTGTGAAGCTGAGTGATCGAATCCGTCAGGAAGTACCAGTTCCCTGAATATTACAGGAACACCTTGTTGACGAGTGCCAAGTAGCACGAAACCCGGGTTCAGGGTTTCCTGTTGGCCACCTCCAACCACCATCTTACCTCAAAGATGGTTAGTGGCTAACAGTGGAACCCAGGACGCGCGTCTTATCCTATTTGGGACACGTCAGCTGAATGTACCTGCATCTCATATTTGATGTTCACTTTCAGACTTGAACACAATACCATTCGCTTTAAACGCCAGCGTGATATCCATTCAGCTACTGAGTCCTGATAGCCACTTGTTTGTGCAATGGGGTGAAGTTTAAATACAATTGGTATTGTTAGTTTGAATCTTCCCATTGATGTTTAAGACTGCAATTAATCAGTTTTTTATTGGCGTATGTGTATATATTGTGCGTATTGCCTTGATATAGCCTTAATTCACAAGCATGGTAAGCAATTGTGTCAGAATGATAGAAAAACCCAAATTTCAGAGATAGCAAAATACATTATTTTGACAGTTCATTTCAGACATATCGTTAAACGTTCTTTTTTTATCACACAATTTAAGTATGCATAGAATTCATATTAACACTTGAGTAAGCTTACTGAATATAATCTTCCCTCCCAATGCGATCCAATTGCTCCAGTTTGATGTTGATTTTCCAAATCTGCTCCATCTATGTTAGCACAACGGAAATGTTTTTTTGCAGCCGCCTAAATATTGTACATATATACATATTAATTCTTTTTAGTCAAAGGAAGAAAAACCCATAATTAAGACCGTGAATCGATCGTTGTTAAACTACCATTGAAAATCTGAAAGTACTGGACAACTGTTTCGTCCCATTTTAGGACTCAGCGGTGCTCATCCACGATCTTCAGTCTCGCGTGCGAACTCCTAAACTCTAGACCACAGATCTCAATAAATAAAACAACTTAATGACCTTCACAACCTCATATTGATAATAAAGTTTTTGTTCTATTTTTAAATAATTCGATACAGTAAAGTCAGTCTTTGGCTTCATAACCGAAATAACGATACATTCTTTAGTCTAAAAGACTCAAACACTTTCATTAATAATTTATGAAATTTAGAACTTACAGCATCAAAAATCAAAACCAAAGAATTAAAGTGGATACACTTCTTTTATATGATCCTAAAACTTGTCAATGTTAGAAAGAGGTTCAAAGGTTCTAAAATCGTGATGCATAAGGTAGAGGAACTAATCCATATGGCTCCATAATAGTCGGTCTCTGGAGCTATGATAAGGTCACGAAAACTCTCTCAGCTTCGACCACATAGCTTCAATATTGTTTGTGTGTACTTCGGTTGTGTAAGTTTATAATTTTTTATTATGAATATGTCCCTACAATACTCATACCACTGAACAGACGAAATTTTGGTGACATCTGCGGCAAATATTATAATATACCTTAGTCTCAATCTGGATCGAGCGAAAAAGGTTCCTATTCGAACAAAAATATGTTACATCGAAAGACAACATCAAGGTAGTCCGCACAAGGTTTACAAGTCATTTGATTACTAAAATTCCAAATAAAGGAACTTCTTAGTAGTCCCACTTATTATAATCGCTTAATTGTTAAGTCTTCCCTAAAATCGTACATGAGCACCAAGTACTGAAATTGGCGCTGTGACCTTGAAATCCCCCGAACGCTTCTGATTGGCTCGTCCACAAACTATAGATGTATTTGAAGTCATTTTATTATCCCATATTTGTTTATATGAACCAGCTTATCTATTTTAATACTTGACAAATTATTTGTTATTCTTCTGTCAATCAAATGTTCTTAACACAACTTAAAGAACTATTATTTGATACTTTGCGAAGTTCACTATACAAGAGTCAACATCTGGAGAGAAGCACGGGATACAGTGGGCAGCTAAGATGCAGTTGGAAGATTTAGACTTCTCAGATGATCTGACTCTTCTATCACACACACAACAACAAATGCAGGAGAAGACGGACATATCTGGATAGCATCATCAATAAAAACGGTGGATCTGATTCAGATGTGAGAGCTAGGATCGGCAAAGCAACAGCAGCATATTTACAAATGAAGAACACCTGGAACTAAAAACAATTGTCAACCAACACTAAGACCAGAATTTTCAATGCAAATGTCAAGACAGTTCAACTGTATGGGGCGGAGACGTGGAGAACTACGTAAGCCTTCATCTAAAAGATACAGGTGTTTATTTTAACAGTTGTCTACGAAAGATACTTTGGACCCGTTGATCAGACACTATCAGTAACAACCTGCTGTGGAAGAGAACAAACCAGATTACAGCAGAGGAAGAAATCAGAAAGAAGTGCTGGAAGTGGATTGGGCACATACAATGAGGAAATCACCTAATTGCATCACAAGGCAAGCACTCACATGGAATCCTGAAGGTCAAAGGAGAAGAGGAAGAAGACCAAACAACACATGACGCTGAGAAATAGAGACAGACATGAGAAGAATGAACAAAAGTTGAATAGAACTAGAAAGGATAACCCAGAACAGAGTGGGTTGCAGAATGCTGGTCGGCGGCCTATATTCCGGGCGTAAGTAAGTAAGTAAAGAATTTCATTAACTTATATTTATGTGGTGTACCAATGAATATCAAAAATCATAAAACACTAATTTCTTCTTAACTTATGGTTTCACTAAACTAAGTTTATTGAACAACTGGATGAACCAAATTATTATTTAATAATATGAATTTTATAAAAGAATTAACTAACCTTGATTTTAGGAGTAACGAAACTGTAAAAGTCTTTTCTAAACCATCCTGCTGCACTTTTCCATTGTCTTGTAATCTTCCGTATAGTGTTGTTACTGTGAAAAAGATGTTTTAATTATCAAAATCTTACACTATAAGCACATACATTTAAAAAAAAAATATTTCCTCAAAAGAAAGACTGATGATGATGATGCACACAACAGTAGTTTTCGAGAATTATTATTCAAATAGATCTGTACATCAAACATTATCGCTATCATCTTAACTAACTGTACATGACTTATGATGTGTGAATCCAACCTTTAAAGATAGGTACAGAGCTCCTACAAATCTGTCTGTAGCTCCTCCGGGGGCTACTGCTGGTCCCAAGCCCAAGAAACAACCGCACATTAAAGGAATGGTTTAGCATCTTAAGGAGAAAATTGGGAGAAAGAGCTACCACTACGTTTACTGGCGCATCGTGCCTCCATACAAGGGACAACCAGGAAGCCACATTTCCTACTTATGTATGGTACACAGCCACGACTTTCAATGCATAATAAGACCTGACCGCAACAATAGAAGTGGACGATAACAAGATTAAGAAAAGAAAGGAGGGAGGCAGTAAAGAACATGGGAAAGAAACAAATATCAGACACAAAGAAAGCGAAACAGGAGAGAAGAACGAGGAAGCCTCTTGGAGTGGGGACCTGATATAGTGTACAGAGTGGAAAGGTAACATAAAAGGCGTCAGGGAAGTTGATGTGGAATAGGGAAGGACCGTACATTATCACGGAGAGACGTGGCTCGGTTTACACGATCCGAGGAGAAGACAAGCAGAAGCGTGTAAATGCCAGTCAACTGCAGAGATGGTTTCAAGAGCATTATGAGTCACGAACAGCACCAAAGAAGACAGTGGTACGGCGATCGGAAAGATTGCGAGAACAACTTAACAGAAGGGGGGACGAATGTGGATTGGTCTACTTTTATCGATATAAGTAGTATATATCGTGAGTAAGGAATAAAATATCTGGCAGCAGAAGATTGAGAAGATCGAGAAGAGAAGAACAGAAATGGAAATCCAGGAACAATGAAGCCTGAGACAATTAATGAACACTTTGCAAATAGAATATCAGAGCGTGGTTTTTGTATTTTATCAAGGGACTTTGTAATTTGTGCTGATTACATAAACGGTTGTCCTCACCTAGGTTCTCATTCATTACACAATGACAAATAGTACATTTATATAAAATCAATCTATTTCTGTATTAAAGTTATCCTAAGTTTCTATTTGTTGAATATATAGAAACATGAAATCCTCACCTTGGAAGATAACGACCATGTTGATCTTTGTAAATTGGCTTATGTGTTGCATCTCTGGGAGTTCGAGCTGTCCCATTTGGAAAACGCATAAAAGGAAAGCTGGATGATGAAAATCCCTAAAGTATAATAAATTTTAAAAAATATTAAATAGTAACCATAAATAACTAGATTAGTATCTATGAGCTAGTACATAACTACTCATACTTCAAACACCAACATATCACGAACGTTAACGTCAATTTTTGATAATAAATTAAAAAAATTTGCTTTTTTAGTCATCATGTAAATATCTTCATTAAACCATTAGAATGAGTCATGAGTCAATTGAAGCTAGACCACCATGAAAAACCTGGAAGCTGAGGAGTCCCATAATTGAACGAAACAGCCGTCTAGTGCTTCCAGGTTTTCCATAGTAGTCTACCTTCAATTGACTGATGATTTCAACTATGAAAATACTGAAATCTCCACAAAATCCCTTCTAATTATGTCATATGCATTTAGGTTTTGGTGTTTTTCGAATTTTATCGGTTAGTTAGCAGTGTAGTCACCACTAGTCGAAATGACTAGTTATTCCATACTTTGTTTTTTTGCTGGTTTAAGTTAGTCAGGAGATCATAACCAAAAATTTAACATTAAGATACCTATTGTTTTCATGAAAACTATATAATATATCTACTAATGTGCATTACAAGGCAATCCCTAACTTGGAATCTTGAAGGGAAGCGGAAAAGAGGAAGGTCAAAGAACACATTACTTTTGGAAATAGAAGCTGATATGAAAAGGATGAATAACAATTGGAAAAAAAACTGGAAAGGAAGGCTTAGGACAGAGTTGGATACAGAATGCTGGTGAGTGGTCTATGCTCCTCGACGAGGTTTAACAGGAGTAAGTAAGTAAGTAATATAACATATCAGATATATTTCAATAAAATTGTTCAGTGACCTCAATAAAATGACAAGTATTCTTTGTTTTAATCAAATAATAGATGAACTTACAAGAGCATGACCTATTTCATGAAGGAAAATTCCACGAGCATTTCTATCTTCAGGATATTCAGTCTTCATTTTTCCTGGGCATACATTTACATATCCAAGAATTGGCCTATAGTATCAAGAGATATTGATAACAATAATATTCATATTGTAGTGAACACAAACAACAGCGGGTATAATCAAATGTATTTGAACACAAAATTCCAGAATATCTTAGTAAAATCTGAGAATCATACTGTAAATACTTCATTTGCAAAATATCTATCCATCTTCTCAAATGTGACTGTTCCTTTTACAAATATCAGTTAATCGTCTCAGATTTCCCTGTTCCTGCATTTTCCTTCGAATTGTTTTCCATTTCCGTTCTTATTTTCTCTATCTTCTACTGAAATACATTCACCCCATCACACAAGCAAGTGGCTATCAGGACTCAGTGGCTGAGTGGATAATGCAATGTCGTTTGAAGCGAAAGGTACAGAGTTGGAGTTCCAGAGTGAACATCAACTCTGAGATGCAAGTGAATCCAGCTGACGAGTCTCAAATAGGACGAAACACGCTTTTAACTGGATTCCACTGCTAGCCACTATACATCTTTGCTTACCATACTATTTCTGACTATTATTATCGATTTTAATTTAATGAACTTTAAGCACCAATATTGCTTACAAACTTACTACTACTGACGGATTCAACTTCCATATAGGACAGTTTCATGGAAATAATTAAATGTGTTTCCTATTGCTTAGATACTTGCTTTTCTTTTAGTTGGATCAAATTTAAAGTGTAGCTACTTTTTATGTTAAAATTTGGAACAAAGTAAGTTAAGCTGTTGTATTTTATTCGTTTGTGTATTAGTTGTTTAAATCTTCTCACTGACCTTTAGGACTGCAGTTGATCAGTCTATTATTGGTATATGTACATTGTGTGAAGATTGCTATAATGTTGAATTAAGTCATTAAATTGCAGTCTTAAACGTCCAAGGGAAGATTCAAACAACCAATACAAAGATTAATAAAACTTCATCCCATTACACAAGCTAGTGACTCAGTAGATAACTGTATAACATGATGGCTCTTAAAGTGAATAGTACTGAATTTGAGTCCCAGAGTGAATATTACCCAATTGAGGCAGATACATCCAGTTGAGGAGTCCCAAATGAAAAAAAAGGAATTCTGGATTTCTCTGCAACCCACTATCCGTCTCTGCTACATTTTATTACTAGAGAAGTAACTGTAAAAGCAAGACTCTCCGATACAATACAATATGCACCAATCCAATTACACTTGACAGAGAAGCTTTGGAGGATATGGAAATCTTTACATATCTGGACAGCATCATCGATGAACACGGTGGATCTGTTGCAGATGTGAGGGTGCTGATCGGCAAAGCAACAGCAGCATATTTACAACTGAAGAACATCAGGAACCCAAAACAAATGCCAACCAACAACAAGATCAGAATTTTCAATATAAATGTCAAGGCAGATCTACTGTATGGAGTGGAGACGTGAAGAATTACAAAAGCCAACATCTAGAAAATACAAGTGTTTATTAACAGTTGTCTACGCACAAAACTTCGGATCCGTTGATCAGATACTATCAGCAACACTCTACCGTGGGAGAGAACAAACCAGATTTCATCAGAGGAAGAAATCAGGAAGAAGCGGTGGAAGTGGATGGGACACGTGTTGAGAAAAGCAGCCAACTGCGTCACAAGGCAAGCTCCCACATGGAATCGTGAAGGTCAAAGGAGAAGAGGAAGAACAGAGAACACATTACGCCGAGAAATAGAGACAGACATGAGAACAATGAACAATAATTGGATAGAACTAGAAAGAAAGGCCGAGGGCAGCATGGGTTGGAGAATGCTTGTCTGTGACCCATGCTCCATTGGGAGTAACAAGCGTAAGTAAGTGTAAACATAATACATGTCTACTTTGAACTTACATGTATTTCTATATAAACAGAATAAAAAAACAACAACTAGTGAATGGATAAAATTATAAAGCAACTCCTTAGCTTTCACAATATTATCGTAAAAATTTGACTTGGAAGTAGTATAGTTAAAAAACATTTGCCTATGAAGTATGCAAACGATAGCAAATGATTTCAAAAGAATGTCAAATAATGGTTATAGCAACCATCCTACAATCAATTTCGATTATGGTCAATTTCCGTTAGGCCCTTTTAATAACTTACTTAACAGATATTGTCATTTGGATAGCAACCATTCGCTTGTATCTTTGTTCTGCCATGATCACTAGAGCAACATGTCAGACTCTAGCCAAAATGTAGATTGCTTAAATATCATTCGATGATTCATCCTTCTCCCCATATATGTATGCACTCAAATCCTATTATTAGCTTTTGTTTTGTCTTGCTGCACCCTTATACAATTTGACTGTAAACTGCCTATATAACTGCTTGCTTATCGCTAGCTGCTCGCTCGCTCGTTCATGTTCGCTCAGATGTTGGTAGCTTTCTGTCCTAAGTTATTTGACATGAAACTGTAGTTGCTGCTTCTCTTTGCCTTCTGATTTTATTCACTGTTAAGATTCATATTATAACGGTTATCATGATGAACGATTAACGAAGTACGGCACTACATGCTCTCTGATTATGAATTGCTATTCAATTAAGATGAATATACTCTAATAAGCTTATCTAATTACCTATCTGTTTCTTCATCCATTAAACATGATGATGCATGTGCTGCTGTACTACCAGAACAAGATTTTGTATTTATGGCATCAACTAGTAGAACATAACCAGCAGATGGTATTCCACTTCCATTGTTGTAATATCTATATAATCTGTGATTGTGTTCTTGATAACATTCCTGAAATATAACCATAATAGAATTATTAAATCGTAATATTTTGAATACAAACAATAAAATAATAATACTTATTATATCATATAGTTGAGATCACCAGTCAATTGAAGCTAGACCACCATGGGAAACCTGGAAGCATTGGACGGTCGACTCGTCCTATTATGGGACTCTTCAGCAGTGCGCATCCATGATCCCGCCCCACGAGATTCGAACCCAGAACCTACCAGTCTCGCGCCAGAGCACTTAAACGATAGACCACTGAGCTGGCCGGCATTCAACGGTGTTAATGTCTAACTTCAACCAATCCACAAAATTGAGCGACCATTCACCAATGTCTTTAGTGAGCTGAAATCTCCCAAAAGATCTGGTAGAACTCTATTGCTTGCTGCGAGGGGATTGTGGATGAGCACTGCTGAGGAGTGCCACAGTGGGACGAAACGGCTTTCCAGTGCTTCTAGGTTTTCCAGAGTGGTATAGCTTCAATTGACTCATGATTTCAACTATATAAAATTACTAAATTCTTCATAAACCCCCCTTCTGATAATTATTATATCAATTAACAACTGTAGTAAACAAAGTTTAGTAACCTAATAATAAACACTGAACTTACTAACAAGCATATTATCACTAAAACCGTACACCTAATTTTGAGGAATAATGTTTGTAATTATGATGTATTATTATACACATATATTTTTTTTCTAGAGAGACTAGATTTCAATGTTGCTTCTATCATTATTCCGGCCTAGTGGTTTGTGCTCGAGACCGATGATCCTGGGTTCGAATCCCGTCAGCTGGATTGTGGATGTGCACTACCGAGTATTCTGTATTTTACATTTTCAATCATTTATACATTATCTCGTTGTTTCATTCTGAATATGAACTATGTTTATGACGATAGGTATATTACGCCTATACTCATACTCACCCCGACATATTCATCTGGAATTTTCGCACGTCCGCACATAACATCACGTTGGCAATTCGACTGACGACAGTATATGGAATTGTTCCCGTGAACTTGGTAGTAGTATCCGCTTTCACAATACCTTGATGAAAGAAACAAGAATGTTGTTTTACTTAGGAATAAAAGAAATTCATCTATTAAGTTTTAGTGGATTATTAAAGTTACTTGACAAGATACCTTGAAACTCTACCAACGTACACCTCCCTTTTCAGAAACATAATATGACAAGAATGCTAATGATTACATTATTGAAAGAAAAGTAAGCTAACAGTGCATTCACCTTTTTGCTAGTTGTTTTTGACTTCCAGGTTTCTTAACTGTCAATGCTTCTTCCCAAAACTTGATTGCATATTCTGCAAATTTCTGTAAAAAATGTGAAATAACACAAATAAAGTATTACATTATTATTATGTATGAGTATAAATAAAGTGTTGTCATATAAATGCCCCAAAATGCACTGATACGGCCAAGATTGGGAACAGTACGTTCCCCCTCTTCAAATGCTCTCACAAGGATACGCGTATATAGCATCTAATAGGGAATTTCTACTTACTGCCTTCTTGTGGCGAGGGTAATGTTCACGAAAGTGAGAGGACAAAAAGCGAATGTCCGACGCTTTAACCGGATTGGTGGACAAGGCGCGTCCACCTACGGGAGTTGGAAAACCCTGGTTTCAAACCAATGGTGCACATGGGCTGGCTCCAGTATCCAGTATCCTGCTTCAGTTTGGGCACCCGGGAAGTATTATAGCTCTCACACAGCAAAATGTCATTTCATTTAGTTGTGTGGCACTTACGTATCTGGTGCCCCTTTGTACCAATATTTATATGTTTAAATAAATAAATATTCAGTAAAGATAATATTGATCAGAAGGAGCTCAAAAAACTGTCACTCATAGAAACAACAAAAAAAGACACTGTACTAAGAAAAATCTTATCTTAATTACAAGGACTTTATGATAATCTGGCAATTGGTAGAAATTTGGAGTGAAATGTGTATAAAATTTCAAGCTTCTTGGAGCTGTATCCCGTCGTTCAACATTATCAGAATGTAAAGGTATTGTATGATCCTGAAATTCCAAAAAAAAAAATCAATAATAATCAATTATATGTTGTCTACCAATTTCACTGATGGTGGTGAACCACAGAATGATGTAGATTGTACAATATTACATATTGTCAAAATGAAAACTGTTCTAATCAATAAATTAATAATCATATCTGTTATGTATGTTGGTAACCAACTTATGTTACATATATATATATACGGTTTTCCGATTGTTGAGGACCAATCTGATGTTTCCGGTCTATTAGTCTTTTTCATAACATCATCTCTTGTTTTCTTTTCATTATACTTTCTGACACTTTCGAAGGTAATTGAAACCATTCCAAAAGGTAGGTGTACTTCTGTCTTAAATTTAGAGATTCTAGACAACTAACTCATTTCCATTGTTGATTCTGTTGACTTGAAGAATACTTTAAATGGAGTCAACTTTGTTTAAAAACAAAATCTGCATCCATGTTTGTTTTTTATGAATTTGCTTTGTGAACACCCAAATAAATATAATAATCGGACAAATAGAGTAACTGACATTATCTTCATATTACCTTGTTAGTGATTGTCAAGCTGAAACGGATGCATTGAAGCATTAAACAACCAAACAGATAGCATTATGAAAGTGGAATAAGAAATTCTTCTGAGTTGTCAACAAACTCACCACCAGTAGGTGTTGAGACGCAGGAAGTATTGGGATAAAGAGTTGATATCTGTTGCATAAAAATAAACACTAATTTAGCGATAATGAAAGTTACCAGTAAGAAAGCTAGAATAATAGATGGTTTGTTTCATAATTGTCGGGCCTATTAGTTTTATAACATCTTCAACAAGATAAAATATGTTCAACCAAGTCTGCTGTAGATATATCAACTCACTGAAAACAATCGGTGAACGGTTGAAGTTAGACATTAACACCGTTGGATGCCGGCCAGCTCAGTGGTCTATCGTTTAAGTGCTCTGGCGCGAGACTGGTAGGTTCTGGGTTCGAATCTCACGAGTGTGGGATCGTGGATGCGCATTGCTGAAGAGTCCCATAATAGGACGTGTTGACGGTCCAGTGGTTCCAGGCTTCCCATTATGGTCTAGCTACAATTGACTAATGATTTCAACTATGGAAATAATATATGTTTGTACATTACAAGCTATTATCCAAATAATTCATTACTAGCAGGCATTTCAAAGTCTAAAAGTGAGATCGTAGCTAAAACTAGAGGTGAAAGCGTTATTACACTGAATAGTACGAATCGATCATGTGTCAAGGGAATCTTCAAGAAACGTGGTTCATACTTTGACTAAACTTAGTCTAAATATAAAGAAATATGTTTCATATCTATTTTCAATAAATCTGATGAAACTTTATAGTATAAATTGACTTTAACAGTAATTCAGAACTATTGTGAAATAGTCAGTGAGAAAATTAACTTCTTTGAGTGTTGAACTCGATTGACAGTTTGATTTTATCATTTCCTGATGACTATTAAACATCGATTTGAACAACTGATCCATGTGCATTATACAACGATATCAGAAGACAAAACAACTAACTAGCGAATAGTTTAAAAAAAGAATTATACTTAAACACAGAATATACATAACACAACAAAAACAAGAATGATTGTTTGATCCGGAATTCTGGAATACTACTAAGCATAGCTACTTACTTGCTTACTTACTTACGCTTGTTATCCCCAATGGAGCACAGGCCACCGGACAGCATTCTCCAACCAACTATGTCCTCGGCATTACTTTCTAGTTCTATCCAATCTTTCTTCATTCTTCTCATGTCTGTCTCCATTTCTCAGCATATTGTGTTCTTTAGTCTTCCTGCCCCCCTTTGACCTTCAGGATTTCAAGTGATTAGGGCTTGTCTTGTGACGCAGTTGAGTGATTTCCTCAATATGTGTTCTATCCACTTTCAGCGCCTCTTGCTGATTTCCTCCACTGAAATCTGGTTTGTTCTTTCTCACAGTAGAGTGTTGCTGATAGTGTCTGACCAACGGATCCGAAGTATCTTCTGGATGGTGATGTTCGTAGTTCTCCACGTCTCCTCCCCATACAGAAGAACTGTTTTGACATTTGTACTGAAAATTTACTAAACATAGTAGCAGTATAGTAATGAACCAATAAGAAACTCTAAATGTTACTTTTCACTTTTTCGATGTTTCTCTCAAAACTTCTAGTGAGCAATGATTGGATATAATACTTCTTCATGTTTCCAGAGCCTTTCCTGTCTTTTCCGAGAAGTTTTCTGGATCACCCCAATACTTATATACTGCCGCTCATATCTATTTCATTTACTGACAACATAATTTATTATTTTCATCATAATACTTTAAGTTTGATCAAATGTAATTGATTTTCATGCAGTTAGTTCCCTTTATGAATTTAAATAAAGATAGAACAAATATTGATGCAGAATAATATGAATTCATTATATTTCGTGGTTTCTCATCAGCTGCTTACAACCAAATATGCATTAGAGTTTTAGCATTAGGGTAATAAATAGAATGGAACAACTGACATAAGGGAATGTAAAGGATTGGAATAACAAAAGTCATCGATGATAACTATATATATATATATATATGGGCAAGGAAAGGTCAGAGGTTATTAGGTATTAGAATAAAGGGTAGCATAATAGTTGAGTGGAGTTCAGAGACAGATAAAATCAAAATGTGATTATGTTAGAGGTAGTTGAAAACAATTAGGGTGGGATTACGTAATGATTGAATAATTTATAGACGTAGTTGAAAAACAATTAGGGTGGGATTACGTAATGATTGAATAATTTATAGACGTAGTTGAAAACAATTAGGGTGGGTTACGTAATAATTGAATAAGATTTGGATAGTTCATATAATTAGGAGTGACAAATGAGCGGAAATGTATGAGAGAAAGGGTGGTTTAAGAATTGGGTATAAAAAACAACAGAATATTAACCAAAATTGAACTAATAAAAAAAAAAAAAAAAACTGAAACAAAACAAAAATGGGTTACCAAGGTAGTAATAAGTTTATCACTGTCTCTTTTTGAATACATAGGTCCGGTTTGAGTTTTTTTATCGCGATCGCCTCAGCAAACCGGAGAGCAGTTGTACTTCTTTGTTTACTAATGATTTTAAAGGCATTAGAAATGTCGATGCTGTGCCCGGTGTCGAGTAAATGCCGAGCTATCGCACTGTTGAGAGCCTTGGACCCTTGCAACCTCAGTTTCTTTGGAATATGCTCAGAAATGCGGATATGCACTCTTCTCTCGGTTCTTCCAATGTATGTGCTTCGGCACGTACATGTAAATTGGTAAATGCAGTTGGAGGTACTGAGAAAAGAGGACTTATCGATTTTGGTTTGTTTGAGTGAGCAATTTGTTTCCCACACCGTCGTCAATTTAGCTGCTGGGTAGGTCACTTTCAACGCGGAATTAAGTCTATGGTTAATTATTCCAGCGATTTCGTCACCTTTGAAGCGTAGGTATAGGAAGCATGTTTTCTTTTCAACTCGATCATACTTTATTCGACGATTGGTGTTTGCATATTTGTGGATGAACTTCTCTGGATATGCATTTTCACGTAGGCATTTGATGATTAAGGCTATTTCTTCCTCAAGACACTCATTGGAGCAGATTTTGCGTGCGCGGTCGAAAAGGGTTCGTACAATACCCTTTTTGTAACTCATCGGGCAGAAACTGTAGTAATTGAGATACAGTCCACTCCAAGTGTTTTTGTGGTGAACATATCTTTGCAATGTACCCGCTGGTGTTCGTCTAATTCCAATATCTAGGAAATGGAATTTATTTTCGTCTTCATGTTCCAGCGTAAATTCTATATCCTTGTGTGCTTTGTTAAATAAATTGAGCAGATTGATGGAGTGTTTATGATTGTCACAAATAAGAAAGGTGTCATCCATGTATCTGCAGTATAGTGTGGTACTATCGATAGCATGCTTAAGCTTCTTCTGTTCGAGGTTCCCCATAAATATGTCTGCCAGAATAGGACCCAAAGGGCTACCCATGGCTACTCCATCAATTTGACGGTAGAACACATTGTTGAATTTGAATTGTATGTTTTTTGTGCACAGAAACAGAAGCTGTTTAAAGTCATGAAATGGCAAAGGTAAAAGTTCAGAGTATTCACCTATGATGTCGGCCGTTTCATCTAAGGGTATATTGGTGAAAAGCGATGTGACGTCAAATGAGACCATGAGTTTATCAGATGCATTTACATTGTCAAGTTTTTGTACAAATTCAAAACTATCTTTCAGACTATAGGGTGCTAGTTTCTTACGGATTGGTTCCAAGCACCTTGTCAGCCAGCGGGCGAGTTTATGAAAGGGTGATTTTGTCATAGATATTATTGGCCTTATGGGGACGTCGGTTTTGTGTATTTTTGGTAGGCCGTATAAGTACGGTAATTGTGATCCTTTTGGCTTGAGTTCGTTATACGTATGGTTATCTATTAGATTTTTCTTCAGCAGCTCTCTCAACATTTTTACGAGGCGCTTCTCAGTTGCATCTGTTAGGTCTTTCTGGGTGTTGTCGGTTATAAATCTCGTGGGATCATTTAAAATGGACATAACTTTGCTGGTGTATTCATCTCTGTTGAGAATGACTACACCGGAACCTTTGTCAGGACAAAGTAGCGAAATTGTTTCATCTTTCATAAGTTTTCTTAATGCTTGTTGATGATCTTTAGTCAATAATTTTGATTGCGGAATTGGTGTCGTAACGTATTGATTCGTAATATCGACTAGTTTTGATTTTAACCAGCTTCGTTTTTCGTCGTTCATGGGTTTAAGATCTGACAGTTGTTGATATAAATACTCAAACTGCGTCTCACTGTCTATTCTGTTACATTTTTTCGGAATATGAAATTTGAATCCAAGGGAGAGTGCCTCTGTTTCAATTCGACTTAGTTTTTTTTCTAGATAAGTTATGTATGTATTTTCCTGGATTGATAGGGAAGGCATCATGATTTTGTTCTTTTACAAGTGTTTTAGTTAGTGTCTTCATTAGTTTATGGCTGGTTTTAGACTGAACATTGTGGATGAAATTAATGAGTTTAATGCGACATACAATGTTTAAATCCATAATAATTTTGTCATAACCAAGGGATTCTGTTTTAAGTTTCGAGATAAGTTCCTTAGTACATTCAATTTGTGATTTTGTGACACGTCGTAGATTTTTTAATGAGGGAGGTATTTTACATGAACGGACAGCTTTGATAATTTGACGGGGAAAGCAGCAATCATTCAAGCATCGTTCCAAAAACTTTAACCTTGTTGTCTCTCTCGATATCCTGCAACGGACTGTCACCAATTGATTGAGTGACTTGAAAATATGAGCAGGGAGACGGCTTTTCAAAAATTTCATGCAGTTAGTTCCCTTTATGAATTTAAATAAAGATAGAACAAATATTGATGCAGAATAATATGAATTCATTATATTTCGTGGTTTCTCATCAGCTGCTTACAACCAAATATGCATTAGAGTTTTAGCATTAGGGTAATAAATAGAATGGAACAACTGACATAAGGGAATGTAAAGGATTGGAATAATACCTAATAATACCTAATAACCTCTGACCTTTCCTTGCCCATAT